TTTTGGAACTCTGACCTCAAAATGGAACCTCATAGAACAGCCATTACAACCCCTACATCCATTTGTAAGTGCCAAGCTTTAATAACTCAGCTCTTAAACCAAAAACCTAAACCCTGCAACCCACATCCCAAACCTGCAGGACTCCTGACATTTGCCAGAACCCAAAAAACCGCAGCCGAAGTGACCGAACGTTCCATGTCGTGGAGGTCCAGCAACCAATTCGAGAGGTGAAAGGACTGCAAGCATCCAGTCGAACCTGAGACTCTGGGTTTTCCGGCTTTCAGGGGCAGGCCTTACAGGAACCCTTAAACCCTCAAACACCTCCCCGCACACGCACCCATCTAGTTCCGAAGTGCCGCCTTCCAACCCACGCATTACCTCAGCAATTGTTTTTTGCCTCCCGCCTGGCTAGGACGAACCTAAGCAATTAAATCAAAAGCCCACTGATTTAGGGTTATACACCGTTATACCCAAATCAAGGGGTCATGACCTGCAAGTTGTACGGATTGTTAGATATTGAAACAATGAAGTATCGGAAATTGATATCACAAGTTTCTGAGGCTCCCTTGCGCACCCCAAAAGGTAGGCCGTGTAGAGCCGAACAAAGGCTAAACTAGGACACCAACAATATACCAGTAGCACCACGACAACGGAACGACAATAGACTTGAATACCTATTTCTGGTTGTAAGTGGTCCTGCTCAGTATTGAAGCAATACCTATGGTGCTGTCGCATTTGGGTGTTCGGTTACATGGCCAACAGCTCAGGAGAGAAAAAACAAACAACGACCGCAAGCACAAGGTCCTGCTGCTGGAATGTACGCGCCAGCCCTTCAGAGGCTTGGAGGTGGAAGTGGAAACGGTTCAGGGGCGAGTGCAGGTACTTTGCTTGGGAGACCTAGCAGCGGGAAAGTGATCCAAGGCTGTCTTCGGATTCTGGAGCCATGCTTTCATCTTCATGGGCGCAGAAAGTAGAATGATGTGCAAACGAGCTGCAAATGAGAAGAGCTTTCCTCGGCCAGGTGAGTCGTAGGAGTTAAAGGGCTACGTCAAATAGCGTAAGTTATGTGCACTGGAGGCTCCGTATGCCCAGTACCGAACCCTCAACTTATCCTTGTATCCTGCGGAAATCCCTTACACTGCAACTGTGGACACCAGACTTTCGACAGTGTCAATGCTTATGTTTCTGTGTTCTTAAGTTCTTCTTTGTCCCTAATCGTTGTCATCAAATCTGCATGACCACTGCAGCCCTCCCCCCCGCACCCACTGCGCTAGGCCTTTCAGAAGTATCTGTTTGGGTGAGGCTGCACCCAAAGCAGCCTCGAAGCTTGTGCTGCTGGCCCTTGCGGTCTAAGCCTGATAATCATTTGTCTGCTTTGAGGATCGTAGTTTTGCAGGTTCTTGTAGTTCTGATTTCGGGGTACTTGGACTTTCGGGTATGTCAGGACTATGGAAAGGTGTCTTGCCTTTCTCCCTACAAACGAAGCTCCAATCCCGGGCCCGAAACCCAATGCAACAACTTCCCAAACAGGAAGTGATTGGCTTAGCTTGCAGCCATTGATGGCTCGGAATTAAACAGCAACAGCCACAGACGCAACTGCGCCTGACTCATTCCAAAAGGCGTTGGGGGTGCAGCATGCTCTAACTTCATAACGACGCCGAGGCTGCTCTGCAACTAGTTGTTCCGACCCCCTAAATATAATGAATAGTTGTTCCGACCCTATAAATCTAACCCTAAACCCTAAACCCCAAACCCTCAACCCCTGCAACTGTGCTTCATAGTGCTCTCCGGTATGCCCTGCCCTTTCTTGAGGACGCAGGGAAGAGAGCACCGTAGCGCCTCGCCGGGAGTCGGGCTGGAAGGAAGGCGGGACCGGGGCTTTGGGCTTCAGGGTGCTTCAGTGTTAGAAATTATATATATATATTCTATACATACTGTGTTATATATTATATATTACATATATATACCCTGCAAGTCCAACCCACCGGTTAAACGGGTGCGTTCAAGTAAACCACGCAAAACACTGAACACACCTCAAACACTGAATTTAACATTGTTTCAGTGGATCATAACACTGCTTTCTTATGCACAAAGTTTCACAGTCATTGGTGGTGGTTTCACAGTTATTTGGGTGTGTTTCACGGTTTTCTGGTGTTGTTTCACGCTTTTTTCACGCTAGTTTCACGGTCAGCTGTTTGGTGTCTTGAGCCTCTGCATCGATGACGCCTGGTGTGGCGCCGTCCAACCCACCAGTTAAACGGGTGCGTTCACAACCCACCAGTTTAACGGGGTGGCGGACGCCCAGGGTATATATATATATATATATATATCATGTATTGGTAATTATAGGATCCTCAATATAAACCATGAAAAGGAACTACACTGCATGCGTATAGGTAAATTACCTTATAGAATCCTAAATATAAACCACGAGAATGAACCACAATGCAGCCCATGCGTAGGTATGACTTGTGTCTAGACATGCAAGTGTTCTGGTCTTAGGGTTGCCGGTCATACGGCGCGGGTTTCCGGAGCAGAGCAACCCCTTTGCAAGGAACCTATGCCCTACCTGAAACCTAAAAAACCTAGCTTTCTAAAGTCCCTGATTATGATTCCCGTACATAAGTCCTTAAAAAATTCGGCTATATGGGGTTAAGGTGAACCCTAAACCCTGCGTAAACCGAGGCAAAGGAACCCCGATGAGGGATTCTGCAGGGGTTCCGTTGGAGGATTCTTAAGAGGTTCCTTGAAGGGCTCTTTTAAAGGAGCCTAAGTCCTGCACCTTAAACCGAACTTCTGAAACGATGGGTCGTAAGGCTGCGGTTCAACAGTTGAGGCCTCGGTGGGCTCAAAGATTCGGTGCCGAGTCTCTGCACGTATTGAATTTGGGGCTTAATTAGGGTGAAGGTGTTCAGGGTTTTGAAGGTCTAGACTCCAGTGGATTGTGGGTCTGCTGATGTATAACATGGCATACTTCTGGCTGCTACCTGTTATGAAAGCAAGTATTTGTCCATCAACCGTATGCACTGCATGATCCCAGCACTGGGCATGACAAAGCAAGCAAAGTGGACCTGTGTCGCCTGCCTTTATCTAGGATGCCCAGTAACTGAGGAATAATAATTAGAAGGGTTTTCTTTTTGGTATTGGGCAATTATAAGGAACCTAGGACTACAAAAGGGGAATAAGGGTACTACTCGGCATCCTAGTTTATTATGCGGCGAGGCAACGTGAATATGTCTTGTGTCTTTGTATCGGATTCAGGCTGTTATCAGGGCTGGTTCTGCGGAGAGACATCATGCTGTAGATTTATCAGTACTATGGACGAAATGACTAGAAGAAGGTTTGGAGTTACCAGTTCGCAACGGGGTGTTTGAGGCTAGGACGGCTGGGACGGCAAGCATGCAACTATGTACATTCAGCAAAGCTACTGCGCCGCACAGACACTCAGTAAGACCCTTACATATACAATATTAAGATCCTGCAGTACGAACTTTTCCTTTCCAGACAGGTGCCTGCAACCACCTGAACCCTAAACCTTTGTAACCCAACGGGGTGTGGTACGTAGTTTTTGGTACATCCTATACATGCATAATGGCGGTGTTTCGAAAGACCTGCGAAAGAAAGCCCTCCGCCCCCAAATCCGCACCGTGTTCACGGCGGACATGAGCATCTCGTGAAGTACGTAGGCCGTGGCCACTGCCTCCACATTGTCGGGGTCGGCCTTACCACAGCATGAACCCAGAGAGTCACGTGCATCATGAAGCCTACACTACAAAGCTGTTATACGTTGACTTCTTCCTCCCCGAAAAAGGCTATTTCTGAATTGAAAATGACGGCTGGCTCTCTAGGCACTTACAGACTTGGATCCCAAGGGTTGCAAGCCTTGGATCCTGAACCCGAAAGCTGATACCCTAAACCCTCAAGCACCTATACCTTGTTCGTCTTAGGTCAGGGCTGGACGGGATGGGGACTAATTGAAATTGGGGAGCGATGCGGTTGTTGAGCCGTCTTTTTTCTGGGAGCTTCAGGTCTTCTTGTATACCCTCAACCCTAAACTTAAAGCCCCCACACGATCCCACGGACCAACACCCCAAACATCCCTAAGCCACAACCCTAAACCTCAAAGAAGCCAGAGGCTACGTAGCTTTGACTCATTCGGGTTTGCGGCGTGGAGGAAAAACAGCTCTAAAGTTGCCAGAAGTAGCCTTCAAAGTAACAAAAACCCTAAAGCATATATACTGTCTGTACATACATAGGCATGAAAGTATGAATATGTTCTCGAATGATATATACATATATATATATATATATATATATCATTCAACGAGAAAGCAAGACGTCTAATCTACACACAGGTCGAGTGAGCAAAATCGAGCGACCACAAGCAAATCCTAAACATCGCGTCTTTAGATGGCGACACAGAACTCGGCGAAGGACCTGGCATGGTAGCTAGGGCATGAATTGGGAAAGAGTTCCACCAGATCATCAGTACAGCTAAGCTATATCAAATTATAAGCCCTACACCCTAAAACCCTATGTAACTCTGAGCCCCTGAACCATAAAACCCCGGGGCACGACCGAAGTTCACCGAGCTGCGACGATGATGCAGTCCGGCATCAAAGGCTCCTGCGGCTGGGTTCTTCAAGGGTGTTCCTTGGGTGTCTCTGCCTACACCCCGGGAGTATGTGCAAGCTAAGCTTGCTAGGTAGACCGTCCAATGTTGTTCCCTTCTCGGGTGCAACATATTGTTCGGACGGATCAGATAAACAACATGTCAGAACAATGCCAGCCATCATCGGCATTACACTCTGCAAAGCCTGTCAACCGAGTTCCAGGGTCTACAGTTTAGGGCCTCGAGTCCAAGCATTCAAGCCCCACACGAGTCTTAGTCTTTGAAGCTGGAGATGGAAAGTCGGTCCCGTAAGCCCTCTCTCTCTCTCTCTCTCTCTCTCTCTCTCTCGCTCTCTAAATCCTATACCCCAAACCCTATCCCGTGGTCCTCACCCTAAATCCTTTACTCTATACCGGTCCTCCACGCGTGGGGCCACAGTCCGCGTCAAGGAGTCACAGATGCGGCCCATCGTCTCCAAGTTCAGCGTCGGCGGCCTTGGTTTCTCTGTACAGATGAAGACTTTGGGGTTTAGGGTTTAAGGGGGTCCACTTTGGGTTTAGGGCTGTGATTGTCTATATCATGTGCATTTTTTGTGTGCTGCTGCATTTGAGTGCAAGTGGTGTTTGCGATCGCAGCAGTTGAGCTCCGACACATCACAAATCACCACCATAGCCAAACCCTGTCAAGAATCCGAGTTACACGCAGACACTTCTGGAATCACTGATCGCGACCCAAATTTGCAGTCGGGAAGCTTGACAGTTGCACTTTGAACCCCCATGCAGCGGCCATGATGCAAGTACGCACTTCAGGGCAAATGCGTTTAAGCGTTGTCGGGCGTGGGCTCTTGACTTTCAACCCTAGTTAGCACACGCAACTTAACAAACACAACCAGCCCAAAGGGTCCTAGGTACTCTTATGGGGGATACTTCCCCAAATCATAATGGTAATTCCTAATATAGACACCCGCCATTCTACTATATAGGTACTTTGGACCCTTTGGGCAGGGATTCAAGGATCACCTTGCAAGATGAGAAGCAAGGCCCGAACATCCCATCGGCTGCCGAGGATTTAGAAACCCAAATCCACACTTCAGGTCTGGGCCCCCATATGGGAGTTTCCGGAAATAGGGGACCCGTTTATTGTACCCTGAATAGTAGGATCCTTATTATAAGGACCCTCAAAGAAGGTGCCCCCATTTTCGGAAACCCCCATATGGACACGACTTGAGTTCAGTTGTCGAGGCCAGTCAGGACAAACCGTGCTTCCAGGCCCCAAGCCATCCAGGTAACCATGAATCCCCACAGTGTAGGATTAAGCCATGTGGGAGCTTCCGAAAATCAGGGGTTCTTCCTTTGGGGTTCTTCTAATTTTTGCCTCCCGCCTGGCTAGGACGAACCTACGATGCAGGGTACACTCATGGCACTACAGTCACATACTATACACTGTCACTCAGCAGCATGTCGATCAACTTCGGATGCATGCCCATGCGTTGTCATTGCAAAGCACAGAAAGGTATCTCAGTCTGCGAAGTAAGGATCCTACTATTTTGGGGTGCTGTATTAGGGTTCCTTTCTCCGAAACTCCCATGTAGGCTTTCAAGAGGGCTTGAAAGGCTTGAGGGCCAAAGTTTCCGGAACGCACTCTCGACGAAGGGGCATTGGAATCGTCTCCACAGTGTGGAGCCACTTCCTTCAGCTAAGCCGAGAGTTTGGCTAGGCTTCGTGTGCAGGCGGCAGGGCCCAGGGTTACTGCGCTGCTTGATTTTGGGATGTGGGTGGTTGTCAAAACTATGGTCCCTGTTTGGGTATCCTAAATACTAGGTTACTAGGTGCCGTATTATAATAGGCACCCAACAAGCGACCATAATTTTGACAACCACCCATGTAGTCTTAGCGAGATCGTCGTCCCTGGGTTGTTGGGAGTAGTCTCAAGGTGTGGAGGCTGGCAAGAAAGGCCAGGAAAGGCTGATCAGGCTTAGCGTTGACACTTGTTGTGGCAAAAACACTGTGACGGACATGAAGCTCAGTCTCAGTAGAGCAAAGAGCGGGCTTCATGTTCAATTAAGTGTGTGTCTGCCGCAGGCCACCGGGGTAACAGGGCTCCAAAACCGTACGAGCATGCGGTGTGATAGCGTGAAGCCATGAAGTTCAAGCGACTTTGATGAATGCGATTTCGCTGACCACAGTAATTAAGCACAAAACGTCTGGAATCTCCTATAGACTATAGACAGCTATATTTACCCGTATAAGCCTCTTTGTTTTTGAACCCGTATACACCGGCATGACAAAGCCTCGAAGCCCTTAACATCTTGTGATGTCTGCGTCGAGCGTCAAGGTCTCCGATACATCCAACAAAGACATACCATAACCTGGGCATGAGGTGTGCAAACAGTCGATCTGGGGCTTGGGGCTTGGATGCGTAAGCTTTGGGTGTTTGGGTTGAAGGCTTAAGAACATCTACCCCAACGACTCCGTGGCGCCAGAAGGCATACACTTAGGCCTTCCAAACTATGCAGAACTATGGGCAGCAGAAACCCTGACAAGTGCCAGAAGGTCAAGAACAGTACTTCAGAAGCCAACAAACATTGACTCCGAACTGGTTAGAGCCGAAGGCTTCCTTCCCGAAAGCCATGAACCCGGCTTCTCCGGCCAGGATCAAAATCGTAGTGCAGGGTGGCTAGGAGGGCTAAGAGAGAGAACACTTTCCAACAAAATGCCATGCTCCCGTAAGTCCCGAAGCCTAAGCCTCCGAAGCCGCTACACCCTCTAAGCCTCGCATTGAACTCCAAGCCCAGATCCTGTAATTAAGCCCAAAATCCTGATCCACAAATCCTAAACCTGAGCCCTAAGCCCTACACTCCACACACTGCTCCCTTTGGCGAGAAGCTTGCCAGAATCTCGATTCCAGGAATCGCGAAAGTCAGATTCTCGCGGAATCGTTCATCGGGTCTCGGTCACATTGGGGTCTTCGGACTTCGGACTTTTTAAAGACCATAAGGTCTCCTAATCCTACATGGGGGTATGAGTCCTTGATTAAACAGAGTTCAGCAAGGGTTTACAGCAGGGTTCAGAGTGTAACGGGCTCCGGCTAGTACGGGCGAGAAAATGGTCGGCGTGAGGGACGTGCGGGCTTGGTTTCAAGCTCTGGGCTCATTGGTGTTATCTTGCTCGGTTTCGGACGTAGAGGTTGTGTGCTTAGGCTTCGGGACTGTCTGTCTATAAGTTTGTTGCTGTAGGGACTACGGGTTGAGTTTCGCAGGGAATCCGGGCGTCTTTGTGCTGAGCCTATGAATGTTTGTCTCTCAGGTTGCCGCGCAAGCCGCAGGTGCAAGCTTTGATCTGTGAGTTCTGCCGCGCTTCCACTGCTTTGGCTGTACAGCCAGGGTTTCAGGAAGACGTTAATTTGAGTTCCAGGGTCTGAGGAGCCCCTGCAAAGCATGCACTGACCCCGAACAGCAGGATGCTTCCAAAAAGACGCCCGCAAAAGAAAAAAGACTTATGAAACTCTGCGAGAACCGCAGCTAGAAGGCTATCTGCATCTGTATGTATGTGTGTATATATATATATACGCATACGTGCTCTATACAACCTCTCTGACCCCCGGTCGTCTGCAATCGAAGGTCTCTTGGAAGGCTGGCCAGCGTAGCATGATGGTACGGATGTCCTTGGCTTGGGGTTTAATTAGGGTTCATGGGTTGGGTGGACTTAGGGACTTCGGGGTTTCGGCGCTCACACTCGGACTTAGGGGTTTAGGGTTCTAGACTTCTGACAGAACTGGGACCAAAACAGCGATCTGAAGCTGTTCTGTCGAAGTGTATCAGGGTTCTTGGGGGTCGGGGCAGATTTACCGTACGGCTGAGGGTTCAAAACAAGAAATAGGCAAGAAGGAGCGGTCAACCGCATGAACAGCATAGTACTGTAAAGAAAAGTTGAGGACTAGAGTGCTTGCCGTTTAACGGGTTCAGGGGTTTAGCGTTTAGGGTCTAGTTTAGATGTGGGGTCATAGGGATTACAAGATTAATGGGTTGTAGAGTTCGGGATCGGTAGAGCAATTACATCACAACCCAGTCAGCAATTACTAGGCGCTACAAGGTTAGTCAAGCGGTTCTAGGCTCTGAGGTCATCGAAACGGGACCATAGAGTCCTAAACCCTACAACCAGTACGTCCAAATTCACAAACCCTAGACCCGGCAATACTTGGTATAACTTGATATAACCATAAACGTAGCGCTCCCAGAACCCTGATACATGAACCACGTCCCAAGGCATTTCTATTGGCATCCCTGTTATCATCCCTTTTTGAGGTAAGGGAGTGTATTAAGCAGGGCCCTGCATTACTTCCAGAGCCCAGTGTCATGAAGCTTTGCAGTGACGATTTCGCCGACACACCTGGGCTTCGCAGCTTCTGCAGCCAGGGAAGGTCAAAGGTAGCAACATCATCATCCACCAACAATAGGACGAACAACAAATCTACCTACACCTGAAATTCCGACAGCATGTGAAGCTCTAATTAAGTGTCCCAGGTACCTTTCACGATAATCGCTTCCCCGTAATATTACCCACCACAAAATTAAAAACCTCCGGCGCTCGAAATCTTGCGCTTTCGGGCCCATAGTTGAAAGTTGATTAAAAACATTATAGGAGTGGAGTAGTTTTAATAGAGTCAAGACTACAGTAGTATTCAATCGACAGCACCAGGGCTTTAGGGTCTAGGGGCTTAGGGCTCAAGGTGTAGGGCCTGGGGCTTGATGGCTTTAAGGTTTTAGGGCTTTCGGGCTCAAGGCTTAAGGTTTAGGGCCTAGGGCTTCAGGTAATGCATGGCCCATTATTACTGTCAATCCGACTCATACCCGGATGCCCCGAAACCCACCCTAACACAGAAACCTCGGCCCCGAAATCAGAATTTCATATCAGGGTGGTACCCTTTTTATATTAGGGGAAGGGATTAATTATGATTACACCTCCAAAGATATCAACACCAAGAATGACAAGAAAAATAAGCGATCGTGGTCACAATTAGCAAGGGCTAATGAAATGCTTACAATAACAATACTGTGATGATAACAAGAACAATGACCATCATATCAACATCAGTACTAATAGCACTAACATCCAACACGCGAATATAATGACAATACTGTGAGAAAAAAACATGACAAGCATACTACTGTAGCGAAGTACAGCATGACAAGACACATTATGCAGATAGCTATACTGTAGATGAAAACTTTACCTTAGAATATTAGTCATAACAAGAATGACAATAATAAAACAGGGCATGATAATGAAAACAGCGAAACAATAACACGAATGAAACCATAATCGCCATGGTGACAACTGCAAAATTCTGTTCACAATACTGTGAGCGCGCTAGCAATAATCAGTACCTAACATTCGGATAACACGAGTATCAATAACAAAAAAAACCACTCACCCGCAGCAACCCAGAAGCACGAAATCCCAACTATCCGAAACGGCGGCACTAAATCGCTGAAGCCTTGAAGCTTCTGAATCTCAGAAGGTGTAGGGGCCAGGAGCTTGCATAAGATTTAAGCTACCGAGCTGAATTTCTGCATCCCAAAGCACACGGATTAATATATACTAGACTGTACTGTACTAAATTGGCTTCTGCTATATAATACTGTACTCGTCGACATTATATACTGTACTATACTATGATATACAATATACAAAAAAGAACTCGGAATGCGACTCAGCTGCCACTTGCGGCGTTCGATCCCAGGGCTTGCCAGAAAGACCTGGGAGTCTCCGAAAATAAGGGGACCCATATATAAGACCCTGAATAGTAGGATCCATATTATAAGTGTTTAAGGACCCCAAAATAATATGCATGGGGGTTTAGGGTCTAAAGCTTCAGGGTTTAGAGGAGTTTAGGGTTTCGGCGTGGAGGGCTTTGGGCTTGAGGCTTTGGGGCTGCGGTGAGTACGTCTACTTGCAGCGCCAGGACTTGATTGTAACTGTCAAGCGGAGGTGTCCAGATACGGTTTAGAATTGAAGTTTAAAGGTATCAGGTCCCTGCAATTCCGAAACTTTGAAAGTGTCACAAGTACATTCGGTATCGAGGCCGGCGTTTATAGTAACCTCCGAAACTGTAACACGGAACATCGACACGGCCTCAATGTAGACGGACGTCCTCGTAAAGTGTGGCTGCTTGGTCTGCTATGCCTTTTGGGAGGAGGGTACTAGTTACTTAAGCCCTTTCTCAACCCTAAACTCTAAGCCCCTGCACGCAGGTTTGACACTCAGCATCTTCGAGGGTTGCCGAAAAGTTTTGGGGATTTGCAGCCTGAGGCAATCCTTCATTATCGGGGTCCTCCAAGCTCGGAATTGTGGGCTTCAGAGCTAAGACTAATGCAAGGGCTTTCATACTTAGTAGAAGGTTTTGGGGTCCACCATACTATAGGTATAAGAAGGAACCCCCCCCAAAATAGTATTAGTATTGGTAATTGTTTGGGCGCCTATATATTAACTCTTCAGAAGCTGGCGAGCAAGACACGAAGGTATGGGTGTCTCGCACGAAGCCGAACAGCTCTGTGAGATCACGCAGGTTGTCTGTGTCCATGAAGGTCCTTCAAAGTCCCAAAAGCCTACAAATGTCAGGCTTCGGGCAGGGTTTAGGGTTTAGGGGTTCAGGGTTTAGGGTTCAGGGCTGGCAGGGAGTAGGGCTTAGGCTGGATTTGTACCAGCCACCCAGAGATTGAATCCGCAAATCAAGGCTTTCAAGGAGCCCATGGTGTGCCCGGAAGCTCGCAACAGTAAAAGACGACAACCCTGATCCTAAACCTCAAACGTTAGCCTCGTGAATGGGCCTCCTCACCATTATGCCCCTCTCCACTTGGACCACGTTCGGCTGAGGGGGGTTCTGAAAAACAAAGGTCTCCTTCTCATTCTTGGGGGTCCTAATATTCAGGGCTTATATTAAGGTCCCTCATTTTGCAAGCCCTAGATCCCACGTAGATAGCGAAGGTGGAATCCGAGTGGGGCGTTCACACAATACTGGACTCTATCACACTTTCGTACTTCGGCATCGGACCCCATACCAGAAAACCCTGCCCTAACAGCCCCAAAGCACTAACAAACCAAACACCGTAGACCCCTCATTACAACCCTTACAACCCTCGAAGGATCCCTACAAGAACCTTTAAACGAACCGCTTGCAGCCAGGTTGCGTAAATCGAGAGCTTCTCTTCAGCAGCTGAATCTTCAAGAGGCGCGCCAGAGACCCGGAGGTGCTCTTCCTGGGCTTACAGTGCATAACACAATGCAGTATACTGTTAGGTCGTAGAACAGAATATGCCATGATAAAGCTACCTTATAATAGTGAGTAAAACATAGTCAAACATAATGTGCTAGCAACATACAACATCATAACATAACATGCATATACATAAAAACATTGCTAAGCTAGTTGTAATGGAAATATAAGATGAACGTATCGAACATATTTCAGTTTAAGTTAGCATAAATGGGATAACATGCAATACCGTTTAATGTAACATGATAAAACGCTATATGATGAAACCACAACGTAAACAGTGAATATGATTCAATCCAAAACGCATATACACAGGCCGCTTGTAATGCTGCTGTCTTACGAAGCCCTCAATCCAGCACCGCTGAAACAGCTCCAAATTGAACCGCCCAAAACCTGAAGAACCCTAAAATTCCGAACATTATTCTGGCGTCTGGTGCGAAAGGAAGAAGTGCCAGGGCTTCCTGCGCCCACGTGCAACATGGAGGATCACCCCATAGGCCTTGGCCAGAGAGACTTTCTTGATGTTCATAAAAAAAGCTACAGGCTTAAGAGCGCTTTTGCATCCACAACTCTGGGGGTTTGTAGCAGCCTTCTCTATGCAGGATACCCGAAAGGCTGTGTTTCAGGCTAGATAGGACTCAAGAGGGTTTGAGGCTTAGGGTTCAGGTTGTTTTTGCTTGAAGTCCTTGCATGAAACCCAATTGCAAGATGCCAGACTGAATAGACCAACAACTTTCTACTGCCCGATACAGTTTAAGCCTCTAGCTAGCCCGATCATACTTGCAGACCCATTCGCCAAAAACACACACACTCTCGTTCTCTCGTTGTGTCTCTTTCTCTCTCTCTCGCTCTCTCTCTTATTCTCGCTTTCTCCTTCTCTCGCTCTCTCCTTCACCTCTCTTGCTTGCCTCGCCCTCCTGCCCCCCCCCCCCCATCTTCACCCTCGAAAGCGACGCCCTTTTGAGCACATACATACGTACATACATACGTACATACATACGTACATACATACATACATATATCTACATATATACACAAACGGCAGGGAGCCCTCTGCATGTAGAATGTTTCTTCATAGGCCCTCTGCCCGGCCGGGGCACCATGGCGCCGACCACTCCAAGGCCCATGAGCAAGAGAAAGAACCTCGCTTTAGGGAAGCTTCGGGCTTCTGGTAAGGCTTTTCCCTTTAGCGTTTGGGGGTTTTTGCTTTTAGGGCTTAGGGTCGCAACGGGGTACAGGGTGTTGCGAGAAATGGGGCTTCCACAACTTTCCGGGTGTGCAAGAACCTGAAAAACACAACCGCCTCGCCGCTGTGTGCGTGTATACATATATATATATATATGTAAATACATATATATATATATATATATATATATATATATATATACAAATATATACACATACATACATGTGTACATACATACACTCCGATGAGTATGTGTATATAGAAAAAGCTATATGTGTAGGTGTGTACATGTATATCTGTATTCGTACATATAAACACATATCCTCAAAGAGTCGGTGATGTTGGGGTTAAGGCAAAACTCTAATGCCCTGCTCCACACCTCCAGCCAGATCGCAGCTTTTCTTTTAACCCTACCCGGTGACCCAACAACCTACTGTTTTAGGCGGGGGGTTAGGGCTTTCGGCGTTTGTGGATCCAGAAGCCTACAGAAAGGACTATTCTGTCTTAGGGGTAATGCCCAAGAGTAAAGGGTTCAGTTTGGGGATAATTACAGGTCAACCCCAAAGCCTAACTCGACTTTGTAGTATCGCGGCTTACGAATAGCTGCGTTGGCCCGTTCAAGCTTCTGAAATATCCCCAAGACCTACTTGGATTGGAATAGGGCTCCATTTCGAAGAGGTCTGTTAAGGGTTGCTAGATGTAAGGGCTTATAGTGTAAGTGCCTTGATGGTGAGACTGGGTTTCAAGGTAGAATGTCGTATACTTAGTACATTTATGTTAAGAAACCCCATGGAACAGCATTGGCAAATCTCCAGGCCCCTATATTCGTAGGCACTTGGGGAGAAGGCAGCCGGAAACCCTGATCCCCAGACCTGAAAGCACACGACCCAAACAATCCTTAAAAACCGAGCTGTAGCCACAGATCGCCACAGCCCCAAAGGCCCTACGATGTCCTTGCATTGCATGTTCTTAATTACCGAAAGTACCACAAAACCCTCAACCCTAAACCCAGTGATACCTAAACCCCCAAACCTCGCAATTCTACCCTAAACCCTAAACCCCAAACCCTATACTCTAAACCCTAGATCCTGTATTGGTATTAGTATGAGTATTCCCAAAAAGCAGAGCTGGTTTTGGGCGAGCAGCAAACACATGACGACCGATGTGCCGCTGTCCGCCTCCGCCCCCGCAAAAGTTGAGGCCATGTCCAGGACTACCTCAGACAAGAGGGAAATAAATACAACAACATCTATTCATCATTTTTCTATTTTCAAAATTTTTATCTATGAAAGCTGCGGCCATGTCCAGGACTACCTCAGAAAACAGGGCCCCAAAAAGCACATAAGCAAAAATAAGGATAGGGATACCCCGTATAAACCCCCTTATTATAAGGTAGGGATATCCCCATACAATGCTTACGCTTATGTGCTTTAGGGACGACCTCAGAAAAGACGGGAGCAGGGCTTAGGGCTTTGGGAGTTCTACTGGGTGGTTGTCAAAATTAGGGTCCCTTTTTGGGTACCGTACATATTAGGGGCCGTACTATAATAAGGACCCAAAAAGGAGCTTAGGGTAGAGGGCCTGAGTGTTTGTTTTTTTTGGGGGGGTTCTACTGAAAGGCTTGGTGGTCTGTTGTAGGAGAAGAGACAGCGTCGTGTCTGTAGCTGCGGCTTTGGGAGTGCTACTGCTGCTGGACAGACATCTTGCACTAGAGTTACTCTAAGCACGGTCACTTACGCTAGTTGGTTATAATATGGTCAGTGCTGTTCCTGCTTATGGGTAAATACTGTCAAAATCGGCACTTCCCGAGGATGGTTGAACTTTGGGTTGAGGACCATGGAGCTACGGCCAGCCATCCTAAATTCATACATACCAGAAGAGAGTTCGGAAAACAATAGCGGACACCCAAGACTCTAAACCCTGCCCTCAAGAGCCTAAGGTTTTGGCATCCGCATTACACCCGCATCCGGGCAGGTTGCCAGCAAACCGACATGGAGCATGACATCCAAGGCATTGCCGGCGATGAAGCGCCAGGGCTGAATCAAGGAAACCTAAGGCAGCCGCAGTTGCCCTATGGGAGTCTCCAACAATTAGGGCTAGGGGTACCTTACTTTGGGGGTCCTTGTAATAAGGATCCTCCTATTTTAGGGTACTATAGTCGGGTCCCCTGTTTTCGGAAACTCCCATGTAGGCGCCTTAATGATCCGAATGGGCTTGATTGGGCTACTGGATTTTAAAAGGGTTGCTGGAGTTTCAATATAGGGCTTTAGACTCACAATCGATTGTTGAGTGATTCGCCGTAGGCTTTAGGTTATGGAGCTTCGGAACTTCGGCGGCTTTGTGGCTTGGGGAAACTTTATTGGCTTGGCGTTATGGAAACTTTGGCGCAGGGCCGAAACGATCTTGAGGGCCTACGGTTTGGGAACGTTAATTCTAGAATGCCCGGTAACCTAGCAGAATGAAAAGGCCTTTTTTGGGCACTGGGCTATTTTTTATAAGGAACCTAAGACCAGAAAACAAAAATGCGTGCCCACTGTAAATCCTTTCTAAAACCATGAAGGCCCTATGTTTTTTTTTGGGGGGAGTGGGGTTCGGGCTTCTATGCTGTAATTGAGGAGCTGTTGGCGACGCTTTCACTGGGACGAGTCCAGGCAAGGTCTACGAGCTTTCGGGTTTGGGGTTCGGGATCTCGGGTCGACCGTGCGGTCCTACGAAGGGGGCCTTAATGATGAGAATAGGGCTTTATTGTAGATTATAGTATATATATATGTAGTATTTATGTATATATATATATAAATAAACATACAGGGAAGCTCAAGGAGTAATCATATTCGCGAATTCGCAAGCACTCAAGCGTCTTACTTATTACACCCTAGCCGCAGGGCACCCTTCTCTGACCTAATTTAAACGGGAATGGTTTGCTCTTCGGCTACGACTGACTCAAGACCATTTTAGAAGCCTTTGGATCACATACGTTGTGGCTTCATGAGTTGTTGCTCTGGCAATGCGACATGCTCCCTCAATATTACAAAACACTCAAAGCAATTACTTAGGAACTTACACTGCTACAGCATCAGCTCGAGATTGCATTCTCTTATTATTGAACTATTGAAGGTCATTTGCTGCTCTGCAGCGTCTGAATAGGGCTTTTCTACTATGGTAATTTCTTAAAACTTCATCAAGCCTTGTAACATTGATGTTCATGTCCTAAACGCTTCTTAGTAGGAGCTCGAAACTTCTTTGAAGCCAAAGCCCACTAGATCCGGGGCTCTCGGCCTGAAACATTAGTGTGCGGTTTAAGGGCTGCTGTGATAAGGCATCCAGCGGTTTAGGGCTTTCGGGATATTTCGGGAGGACCAGGGAGCTTCGCTTGGTGATAGGGCATCTGACAGGCCAACCAAGGAGCCACCACCACGCTGGAGTAGAGGATCATATTCCTCACAGAGATGATTTTTTTGTTGCAGGGTTTGGTGCAGGACTCGAGGACCAGCTCATCCCTCAACCGTACAATGAAAGGGGCCTGCAATCAGAAAAGGGGCTAGGGGGCGCATGGCCGTGTGCGTTGGCCTGGCTTGGCGCAAGCCCAAACCCCCCAAAAATGCCTACGATTTTTGCCCCACCCTAAACCCTAAACCCTGCAGGCTTCAGGATCTGTAGGACTTTTCTGAGCTGCGAGAAGCTCCAGCTTCCTCACCAGGGGCCCTAACTAATATACAACTCTTGATATTATTGGAGCAGAATAGGGTTTTGGAAAACATTCTAGTGGCAACTGTAAGAAGAAACACTAAGGAATAATAGGGTATCACTGAGGCGTCTATACCGCGCACAGGAGGGCCTTGTCTCTATGCGCCAAAATTACAACCTAAGACCTCAACTCCTCACCCCGGCACCCTTTGGCGCTATGAGTCCCAAACTCCAAGACGCTGCATACTGTGCACCTCGACAGCCCAAATATCTTTCGTGAGCCACATCTTATCTGTCCGGGCGGTTACATCCAATCAGTTCTTGCTAGCGTAACTTGTGCTGTGTTCCTGTTGCTGCCATGACCATTGCTGCGACTGTGGGTGTCGCTGCTGTTGCTCAGTGCTGCCTTCTTGCCGCACTGCGCCTGACTAGGGACTCCGTCTGCCTGCTAGCTTGAGACAGCCCAACAGTCAAAACGCTAGCTCCGACCCTTTCCAGAATTGAGCAGCCGAGTTCGTGGCTTGATGCCTACACCGTCGAGACATGTTGCGAACGCACAGTAGCCAGGCCAACGCCCAAGAGCCGAATCTCAAGTCCCTCCCTGAACTCTGACGCTGAAACACAAGTCAAACGCCTCGACGCCGAACTGCTAGATTTTACCAGGGTGCATTGCCACAATCTGAGCAGACATCGATGGCAGCAACGGCACTAAAGCGATCAGCGCGTTTCCTCACGGGCGCACTTCAATATTTTGGACAGGGCTCCGGGGTGAAACGTAGGGCCTTTGTAATTAATTGGAATTATGTAAAGCCGTGAATTGCCCTGAACCACATGATGACATGGGGTGCTAGAGCATTACCGGCTTCAGAAACGTTTGGTTCTTGTCAGGGTTCTTGATGCAGATCCTCCCGTTTTGGAAATTCAGCGTCTGGGTGCTTCGGCAGGTCTCTCTCTCTCTCTCTCTCTCTCTCTCTCTCTCTCGCTGTCAAGATGTTGCCCGAAAGCACTACGGCAAAACACATTTAAGGAAACGATGAACGATTCAGGCACCGACGTCTTAGCAACGTCTAACCGGCCAAAACCTCCAAACCCTCAACCCGACAACTTGATGATGCTGACGCCGTGTCCCGAAACCCTCCAAAGAAAGCGCTGTATCCTAAACCCTCTAACACCAACACACATAGCCCTACAAGCCGTAGAATCCCTATAAGCCCAAGAGACCCTGTAACCCCTACAAACCCTGCAAACCCTACAAACCCCAATCCTTGGGTACGGCTAGTAACAGTCTATAATAGGGCTACTGTTGGGGGCCTCATATATCTATATAAAGAATATTATCCAACTGTTACTGAGTGGGGGCGGAGTTCAACCCTAAACCCTAAACTCCTAAACCCCAAACCCTTTTGATTCCGAGGGGCGTGTGAGGTACAAAACCGAGTAGAGCTCTGCTCCGGGTCGGAACCGCGACCAAAGGAAAGCACCTGAGACCCCGGGGACGTAACGAGGGGTTCTAGTAGGGTTTAGGGTTCTACTAGGGATTAGGGTTCTATTTGGGTTTAGGGCTCTAGATTAGGGTGTAAGGTTCTGGTGGGGATTGGGGTTCTATTGGTTTAGGCTTCTACTCGGGTTCTATTTTCGGAAGGTTGTTTGCTGAAGGGTTGTTTGTGGCGGGGTGGGTGAATTTTCGGTCTGAGCGGGACTGTTTTTTTGTTTAGGACTTGAAACCCTAAACTCCGTTAAGCCCTAAGGTCAGCCGAGAAGCAAGCCCTGAAATAGGCTGCATCAGCACGCAGAAGCCTTCTTGGAAGCCTCGGCCCCAGATCGGAGGATGAACGGTTTAGGGATTCTTGGAGCCAATATAAGATCAGCGGTTAGGGGGTTTAGGGTTTAGGGTTTAGGGATTCTTAGGGCCAATATACTGTCAGGGGTTAGGGGTTTAGGGTTTAGGGATTCTTAGGGCCAGTCTAGGATCAGGGGTTAGGGGTTTAGGGATTCTGGGGCCTGTAATGTAGGATCAGGGGGTTTGGGGTCTCGACGTAGAGAGCTGAGGCTTCCAGGGCTCCTCATTCAACCTGATTAAGGCGGCAAGCAGTTGGATCCACAATTAGGGCCTGACGCTTCTCGAAGGCTGTGGATTCCGGGGGGGCTTGATTGCAAAGCTGGGTTGTTACGGCTTTGCGGTTTTACTGCAGGGGGGGGGGGTCGAGGGATTTGGCTTGGGGGTGTAAGTTGCTAGGGTACAGGATGGAACTGTAATCTTTTGGACTTTTGGAGGTTTTGGACTTCATGGTCGTTGGGCTGAAGGTTTGCGGAGTTGTATTGCATGTAAAATAGGGTTCAGGGCACGTCTCCCGAACCCTAATATAGGGGTTTGATTTTTTGTCAAAAAACAGGGTTTTGGAGCCATTATACTATAAGGAGCCTCCAAGATGGCATAGGTAATCCTTAAGGCCCCTACAGTAAACCCTTAAACTCAAGAGTTGAGGGCACGGTGCTCCGAGTTCAGGGGTTTAGGCGCCACCCTGATCCCAGAAGGGCACCCCAGCTTCGACGAGCGACCCCAATACAAATACCAAATAATGGGAGCCTTACGGTGAGGGTTTCGGGTGCAAGGAGGGCTCCAAATGAGAGGGAACCCTCCCCTAGAGACTAAAACCCTAAACCCTCCGATTCCATGACCACTAAACTCACTAAACAGTGAAGACCATCAATTAAAATTGAGGGCTTAGTATGCCTCGTTCTTGGAGTTGGCGGTGGGGCCGGTACTTGGGTTTTTTGGCTTGACCAGGAGCCCGCCCACCAAGTACCTTCAAAAGGGCTCCCAGCTCTCATACTCCTTACTAAGAGGAAAGTTGGGCTACATAAGGGGTGATTCGGTGATGCAGAGCTATGTAGGTTTGTTGTTTCAGATCGCGAGAATCGTTGCACACTAGGAAGAAGGGTTAAGTTGAAGGCACCGTTGCCAAGCCACTCTACCCACGTCACCCAAACGCTCATTGCAAGGAAGCTGATAGGCATCCTGAGTCAGTTTTGAATCGCAGGTGCTGGAGGCTTTATGTGGAACCCCATAAATCCCCCCTCTTACAAGGGATGGAAACTCCTACTGGGCACTGCTCAGGTTTCACATCGTTTCCGAAAGTAGGATTTTGCCCTAAACCCTAAACCCTAAACCCCAAACCCTAAACCCCAAACCCCAAACCCTAAACCCTAAACCCTAAACCCCAAACCCTATTTTGGCTCAACCCTAGATGAGCCTTGTAAGTGAAACTCTCGAGGAACGATCGCCCCTAAATCCCTCGCAGCCCTAAGTCCGAAACCGGAACCCGGGACCCTTAATGGGGACCCCTACCCTATAATGGGCTATATTATGGGTATATAATAGCTATATTAAGGGTAGGGTATATAGGTAAACCCTGTCCAAAGTTCTTCTGCGACCTCGTCAATGCCAGGTGGGCGTCGGAGGACTTCAGTTGAGGGGCCGCGGTTAGGCATTAGGCTTCTGGGGTTCAGGGCTTGCCCACAACCCTCAAAAGCTAGGAGGTTGTCGCATTCACAACAACAAACGAAAGAATCAAGAGCCCTGCATCTGGCTCCAACTCAGCGCTACGGCCGCACACGAGGACTTTCCGAGGGATTCGGATGCTGACTTCTAGTTATAGTTCACACAGTAAGTCTTGTGGCCGCGGGTTTGGGTGCTTGAGAAAGCCTGCGGAGAAGCTCTCTGGGGCCGTCTGCCGTACCACCTTAATATGATCATTGCGAGCCCTTCTGCTATTGATACTCTTCTTGGTTGATGACTTCATATTGTGGCTGCCACTGATTCATATGCTTCCTCCTGGCAACGGTGTGCCTTTGCCTGCGGCCTACGTTAGGTGTATTACAGGAGCCTTGTAATAATTAGAATAGGGTTTGGGAGCCCATCATACTATAATGATAGTAAGGAAACCCCAAAACTAGTATTGGTGATTATCTAGGCCGCTATAGTATTGGACCGGTTTGTTGCGTCAACCTTCACATCGTAGGCCAGCAGAAAGCTCAAACTACTCTCTTGAGGAGGCAAGGGACCGTGAGCTAAAGGGTTGTATTCTCTGTGTAAGATGTTGCCAAAATGCCGCAAATCCCGCGACCAAACCCCGATACAACATACCCACTGAACTGCGCGGTTTTGTGGATACACTGTTGTACACTATATGGTTTAGGATCCTGTAATGGGTAAGGAAAGCAGGGCAAGGCATGACACTTCACGGTCTCGGTGAGCCCCTAACCCTGGTCCCTAAACTTGTTTGCCGTCTGAGCAACAGCGAGGCCACACCACCAACCACACCTTGGCAGACGAAGTGTGGGCAATCTGATTCTACGGGTTGATATAGTATATAGTGTATGAAAATCTCAATCGACACGCTTGGGAGTTTCGAGATAAACGTGTAACCCCAAACCCTAATATGGCTTGAAGGCAGGAACCTGTTCGGCCAACGCTGGCCCATCGTCGCCTTCATCGCAGAACTGGTTTCGGGGGTCGAAAACTTCAAGCACTCCATGGACCTTGAAAACCCTATCTTTTCAGGATCTATAGAAGGAAAATGATAAGAAGGAAACCCAAGAAAGGAGTCCTTAAGCCCTTCAACCTGGACATTTCCCGGAATAAACACCAGCACCCCAAATCGTAAGTGGCTTGGGTTTCTTAGACTTGTGGGCATCGCACCTGGCAAACTAGGGGTATGCGCCGGGAATTATTTTCATGATTATCTTATGGTATTAATGGTTTTTAGGGTTTTTCACGTTTACGATTTTGATACGGTGCTGGTTATGATTTCAATACGGCCACGTGAGAAAGCTCGGCTCGGAAAGCAGCTCGGCTGTAAGTCCGAAAATTATATCAAAAACCTAGCAAACATATCAAAACCAGTCCTGGGTGGAGGCTGGAGACGCACCGAAATCGTATCAGAATCGTATCAAAATCGTAACGAAATCGTATCAAACTCGTATCAAAACCGCATCCAAGCCATATCCAAATCGTAAACCATGTCAAAACCGTAACCGGAAGGATCATTGAAATCAGATCAATCTCGTCTGGAAATCGTGAAAACGATTGTTCAAGGAAATGGCTGTTTGCCAAAACTCAGAATGTCACAATACTAGACGCCTAAAATCCCTGACTTCGTGGTAAGTTAACAGGAGAACTCTAGAAACATTTGCCCATCACGGCCCTGCAGTTAAACATGATGGAGTTCACGACGTTGACACGGATTGCTAGGGGAGGCAAGTAGTCCACTGGAGTTCACCCCGCAAATCCTAAGGTTTCAGAACTGTAAGCAAAAGCCTACAAGACTTTAAATGGCTCTGAGTTGCGTTCTTGAAACCGTGTGGTCGAGTTTCGTTTCAAAGCATGCGTAGGAGGGTGAATCTCTGAAAACCTACGGGGGTGGAAAGGCACTTACTATGAAAGAGTTTAGCGTTCTGAACCCTAAACCCCAACACCCTAAATCCGAAAACTCTACACCCTAAGCTCTGAAACCTTAGGACTTAGGGTTCAAGGTGGGCGGTGGCATTTCGCCGTCTTGATTCCTGCCCTAAACCTGTAAGCCTCAACGCCTTTAAGGTTTAGGGTTTAGGGCCTTTAAGCCGAAAACTCTACACAAAGCAGCTGAGCATCTCATTTGCAAATGTTCACCCTGCCCACTGCAGAAGACGGAATCGTACTCTTGCCTGGAGCTGGGGATTTGGTTTTGGTTTGTTGTGACCTACAAATGTTTGGTGTTAGGGGTTACTTGCTATAGCTATAGCATAATAGACTCCCAAACCCTATTCTAATTATTAAGGCCTCTACATTACTTACTCTCTCACATATCGGGGCCAAGATTTTCATCGTTGAGATCTTTCGGGCTCAAGAGGATTAGACTAAAGCTTTCGTTGGTTTCTCGCGGTTGAGCATTTAGAATCTTCAGGGTTTTCATTCTAAGGAGCTTGAGAAAAATGAAGGGTTTGTCGCGGAGCTTGCTAGCAACAGCACCGCTCTACACCGTTCGGCGCCAAAGCCCGGATTCTCAGAAGCTGCGCAAGCGAACCGGCAGCCGTCCACGACTTATGTTACATATGCGACTTAGCCTTAGCACTTGCGCGAGATTATCGCAGCCTCGTTGCACGATGCATGTATGTATACAGTCATCTCTACAGACGACACATTTGTAACACCTGCACCATCCGCTACATGTGCATACTGTTTTTTGGCCAACAACATGAGGCATGAGACCGCAAAGCTTAATCTGAGCACTGCAGCACCGCACCCCGAAATGAGTAGGCCCTGGCTAAACATAACCAATGACGACCCTCTAGCACGCAAGAAGACACGTGAGGAATCGAATCCATGCAAAACCCGCAGCAAACAGATCAGCAAATATGGGCCTTTTCCCCATATACCTTTGTTTCAACATATTAAAGAGCACGTCTCAGACCCCGTGCTAAATCCGCTGATCTCACCCAGAACCCCAAGCACCCATGGTTTCCGGGAGCCGACACTGGGAGGCTTCTGAAATCTTAGGGATCACTGCTGGGGGAAAGGGGCGGTGGGCTGAATCTAGTAGAGGGCCGATAACGTCGGGTCGATTTGAAGCTACCCTATCTGAAGCATTGATCTTCGATCCAAGAAAGCAGCCCTGACTCAACACGAGTTCCAAATCCAGGCAGCGAAACAAAACCAACTTAGTTGCAGAAGCAGCTACTTGACGCCGGATTGAGATAACATCAAGTACCCGTGTATCACCCTAAGTAGTAGTGATCCTGCAAGAATAAGATCATTCCTAATTAAAATTACCAAGACTGACATGGCAGCCCAAGGTACACCGTAAAGCGTCCGTTCGGGTGCTCGTTGCACTGGAACCTTTTATGGGCTTTATGGCTTCTAGGACCTTAGCTTAGGAGGGCTTCGCCCAAAAAAACGTTCTCAGCTACTCTGGATCTAACTCGCCACAACTTTGGGTCTCATTTGAGGCCTCACGGTTTTTCCCCAGACTGGAAAACATTCGCGACGCCGAAATGCATCGGGGAGCCTTCCGATAATAAAAAGAGCTTTAAGTGGTTTCTTGGCATAAAAGAGTTCGGGTATGGACACAATTACGTAGACTGACGACAGCCAGCATGCTCTGCTGATATGTATAATATAGTTAGTTAGATGGATAGATTGATGCTTACATAGATACATAGACAACCGTCAGCACATGCGGGCACACATGACTCACAAGCATACACGGCTGTCATGCCGTGTGCATATATATATATATATATATATATATATGTGCATGCATGTGTGTATGTATGTATACACAGGTATATATACACATACATACACATATTGGTACGTGTGCACGTGTAAGGAGCATTCCCGAGGAGAGTAGAGGCAGGGAGCGACTATAAACAGGTCATCGGTTCACATTGCGGCAGCATGCCTACAAGTTCATCCTCAATTCTAGCAGACAGAAAGCCTTCTTGATTCTGGTTTCGGGGGATGGAGGGTGCCGGATAAGGCCCAGAACTGACCCCCTATCTCGGCAGCTGCACACCACCAAAAAGCCTGCCACCATAAATCTCAGGACACAACAAGCTGCATACCAGAAGAAGCCCGAAAAGAGCTCTGTAGCCGCCAATGTATCAAGCTGTGAACTACTGGTCGGGAAAAATCGAAGTTCTAGTGGCGGGCGCAGAACTCTTTGGGGCTTCTTTGGCTTTCGGGATCTAATTTCGGATGGCTTCCTCGCTTGAGTCTGAGTGCTTGAGTTGCTGGCTCGGGGGCTTCCTGGCTTCGCAGTATAGGGGAGCTATGCGAGCCCGCGCCCAAGATAACTCCGAACATAAGCTGGAAGGCTGAAGACCTAGAGCTCCAGAACGTAGTAGGACCCTGCTGGCAATTCGACGCCGCACAACCGGCGACAAGCATGAGCCGAAGAAAGGCAGCCTACTTTGCGCTCTCAGTGTAGGTACGTGATATGCAAAACCTTGGCAGACCCCGCCGTGCTTCAACCCATTGCGGCTCACAGCACGGCGCAAGCATGGCAGTAAAGATGGCGATGAAGAAACCCCTTGTCGGATCACTCGCTAGGTTGTGAGGGTTCAGGGCTGGGCTTCTTGAAGAGAGGTATTTCAAGGGGGTACTGGTTTAGGCTATCTAGGCTCATAACGAGGTTCAGGACTTAAGTAAGATCTCTTGAACGGATGATTACTACCCGAAGCTTTACTTGGAAGTCCGCCAGGTAGGCCGTAGATCACAATCACACAGCGATTTCTGTCACGCATGGTTTTCTGATACAGAGGTTTTCTGCTAGGCTTCCCGGAAGACATGGATCTCAATGGCAGACTGGTCAGTTTAGATGGCTTGGCTCGGTTTGGGTTGGCTTGTCATGAAAACCTCCAGAATCACACCCGTGCGAGTGAATGCATGCATACCTGGGTACATTATGCACACACAGTCAATCCTCTAAATCATCTAAATTTCTAGCAACCCCTAAGCCGACTTCGGGAGGCTTCTTCCCTTCAAAAAAAGCAATTCTAAACTTGCTATACCTCATACTACCTCATGACGCTTCGTCTTTACGGGTCTGCGACCCTAGCTCATTCGGGTCCCTGTTCTAGTGGTCCCGGCCCGCCTGCCCCCCCAACCCCTCCCCTACATTCAACTCGTCGGCCAAGGCTCTTGAACAAGGAACCCACTGTGCGCAGCAGCCGGCTCATGTCAAGATCACACCGACCATCACCGCGGGCTTTCCTGGGCCGCGGAGTGCTGTAGTTGGCAAAGCATGCAGCAAAGTATAATGGCAGTATATGACGGTAAGAAGATCCGTTATCATTATCGGCATCATCCTCATCATCCCTGTGTTTCCATCGCCATACGAAGCGTTCACCGTTTCAGCAAACCTGTAGATCGACGGTGAAGGTGCTGTAAGCAGGGCGATTGGCGCTGGGATATAACTCGATAGTTATTGACCTCTTGAGTCGTTGCGGGTCGAGCACTTCTCTAGGGGTTCAGCTAGGGTTGGAGCTTGGTGACTTATGGTTGAGTGTTTGGGGGCTTACAAGTGCGTATGGTTTATGCTTTCAGCAATGCGGCCACAAGGGACCTTTTGCGGGTTCCTGCGTGTAGGCAGGTCATTGTGTCTGGGGCCCTTAAACAAAACACTCTATCCAAAGCCCCGACACAGCAGATCCTGTTCGTCCGACTACTAGTTTGCGCCAGGAGGCACGCTCCTTCACGTGATATACTTGATACCGATAGACTCACGCAGTCGTACCTAAGTCTATACATACATACATATATATATATATATATAGCACTCTCGGCCACAGCATCGACCAGTGTGTAACGAAAGGGCGTATTGGAAAACCAACTGCCGCTGTAATGGGTTGTGATATTATGGATATGTTGTCGGTGTTGATGTACGGCCCACCAAACAGCAACCTAGGGAGGGTAACTGAACTTCTAGAGCCTAAGGTAATCATTGGTCTTCAGGGTATCTGGCTCAGACCATGACACTGAATGAGAATACAGTAAGTCCCTACGCACGTACGCCAGCCTCAAAATGTGAAGGCCTGCAGAATTCGACTCGAGTTTCAACGCATGTACGTTAGCGGCCTTCAAGGTTGGTACCGATGAGTTCGCATGCCGCATGCGTGCGCTGCGTTTCCCACACATGGGAGGCGATGCTCTGCACGATGACCGGTGCTTCATGACGCTCGAGCCAAGCTTTCGCAGTCTCCGGGATCATTGTGAGTTCATGCTCTCAAAAGGCTCAGGTCAAGGATTCAAGGTTTAAGATTTTCGTTAAACCCCTTAAATCATTACAAGGAGGCCGAGCATCCCGTTGATCGTGATAGTCACGAAGTGGACAATCAAAGCAACGCATGCAGCAAGCGGAGCTGCTGAGGTCCTGTGTGCGAAAAGGGATGTAACAACAACTATAACCATAGGCTGATTTGGACTGTAGTTAAACAGAAGTAAGATTAATTATGTACAAGAACTATACATCTAGTTGTAAATGTTCAGACTTGTGCACGAGATTAAGAACTGGAACTCAGGGTTAACAAGAGCCCGCAGTCTCTGGGGTCTGCCAGCGCCTCTGAAAGTCTGATAAGCGTGATGAATGTGGAGCCATAAACGCACCAGTACGGTTTAGGGTTTAGGGAAAAGCTATAGCTGTTATCTGTTGGACTCAGGCACCGAAGCACGAAAACTAGATCTAGTGAAACTAGGTGGGTACTTGGATGCTTGCTTACAAAGGGGCGGGGAACAGTCAATCTTAATCCCTCTTGATTCCCAACCCACTAAACGAACACCCTTCAGGACCTAAACCCCAGGCAGAATCTGCTGTAGACATCGGTCCCTAAATCCTAAACCCTAAACCCATATGACCCCCAAACCATAAACCCCTAAACCCTAGACCCTAAACCGCTATACACCTGACCCCTAAACCCCTAAACCCCAAACCCCACAACCCTAAACCCCTAAACCCTGAACCCATATAACCCCCAAACCCTAAATCCCTAAACCCCTAAACCCTGAACATAAAACCGCTAAACCCCCAAACCCCGAACCCACATAACCCCCAAACCCTTAAACCCTAAACCCTTACACCCCCGGTCCTCAAGGCGTACTTCGTCACAGGGCTCATGCGCGCCAGGCACGAGATGGCTAGGACATCACAGTTCCTCAGAGTGCGGAACCCAGGGTTTAGGGTTTAGAATTTATAGGATTTATAAGGTTCAGGATTTAGGGTTGAGGGTTTATGGGTTAGGATTTAGGATTTGGGCTTAGGGTTTAGGATTTGTATAGGAATTTGGGTCTTCAGGCTGGGTCTCCGTGCATTGAGGGGGTTCAGGATTTAGATGCAAGGGTACTATATTGGCTTTGTATATAGGGGCTTGACAATGTATAGACCCTACAAGTGCCAGGATGTGCCAGCTAGAACTGCATCTTCGGATGTGGAAATGGCAGGTACACAATTCTATCATATGTCTATACGACCTGTCTTTACCTCTCTATAGTCTATGTCTATGTATCTAGATCTAAACCTATATCTGTCTATAGCTATCTACAGGTTTACAATGGTAGTTTGTGTGTATGCGTGTGGATATACGCATATAAGCAAAGGTTGACGACGGTGACCTGACTACCCAAGGTGGTAGGAGTAATTTCGGGGCCTAAATAGAATAGGGTTAGGGGGCCCATTATACTATAAATATAAGAAGGAGCCCCCCAAATTAGTATCGGTAATTACTTTGGGCCCCTGTATTATGTCTTGTGCTCACCACTCCAGAAGCCTCGCAACCCAGGTGAGCGGCTAAAGCCTGAATTTTGCAGGGTTTGGGGATTCAAAATTAAATTGGAGCTAGGATTTCAGGGCTCAGCACCTGGGGTTCCAGAATTCGGGGCTTATAGTCTTAGGGATTTATTTTGAGTTGGGAACAATCTTCACGAGGGTTTCGTCGCCCTGTGGCCCTATGAGCCCTAAAACGAGCCACATCTGCCAAGATGCAGTCCCATGAACTCCTCAGTAGTTTTAGGGTTTAGGGTTTAGGGTTTAGGGGTTTAGGGTTTAGGCTCAGTGGTTGCGGTTTGAAAGCAAAAGCAGGGCGATTAGGCTTCAACAAATGCCGGGTTTAGGACCTGGGGGTTTTTATCGTCTCGTCAGGCTTGGAAGCGGGCTTCAGTGCTTGCTGTTGGTCTGCTGTGAAGTCTGGGTTTAGGAGGAAAGGGGTGAATGTAGGATTGGTGGGCTTGGTACTTATAAAAGTCTGTTTCGTATTTTCTGACATGCAAGATTCAATTCTTTACGGCTGCTTCAGGGTGGAACCAAGATCTGGAGCTGGCAGTTTCACTTGAAGGCTCCGGGCACGGAGCAGGTAGGTCCTAAGTCGGGTTTTAAACTATGACCTTCTTTAGTCCCGTGATTGCTTTACATAGGAACAAATTCGATCTAGAGGGTAGGAGCTGTTGGAACGATCGGCATAGCGTCTGGTGTAGCACAAGATCCCAGAGCTAGGCTTTACACTTCAGGCCTTGTAACTGAGTTGCCGAGGTTCAGACTTCAGATTGTGCAGCCTCGACTCGTGCCCGCTTTAACCCCAAACTTCATGTTGCACTTCGACAGTTGGTTTCGGGTGAGAGTTGTGCTCCTGTTTTGTGTATGTCCGTGTGTGTGTGTGTGTGTGTGTGTTTGTGTGTTTGTGTGTTTGTGTGTTTGTGTGTTTGTGTGTTTTTGTGTGTGTGTGTGTGTGTGTGTGTGCGTGCGGGTGTGTGTGTGTGTGTGCGCGTGTGTGTGAGTGTGTTTGTTGGTTGGTTTCGGCTATCTCCATTTCGACGAGGCACGAAAGAGCTGAGGATGTTGCCAATTGGATCCTCCCAAGCAATTCCGAACCTGGGACCCGTGCATGGTGTAGGACCCTGCTTTGAAGCTTGCTGGCTTTTCAGATGGTTTATGTGTAGGGTAAGTATCGCTCCTTCTCGCTCTGAGCCACCATGACATCCTGGTTTTAAGGGTTCAAAAGTCTCACTTCGGGGCAACTTCTTAGCATCCTGGCTCAGGACTTATAGTTCGCGCTAATGATGACAACTGAGATTTGGGAGTTTCCGAAAATAGGGGTACCTTATTTTGGGATCCTTATAATAAGGATCCCATTATTTAGGGTACTATATTTGGGTCCCTTATTTCGGAAACCCCATTTTTGACCCCTTCTCATCTTGGATACCGGACAAAGCTCCGTGGATTTCTGTGGCATAGAACAGCCCCGAAGGCTCGGAGTTTCCAAGTTATGACAGAATGCTTTTTTGCAAAAGACGCAACATCATAAGCCGCAATTGGAGTGTAGAATGTCCGGGGTGAAATACGAGGTCTAGGGATGATTTGCATAACTAACATGCCGTAAAGGCAGCATAGCTGAGAGCAGTTGCTGAAGCCCAGGTCTTATTAAGGACGCAAGGCAGACATTTGGGACCGCAACAGTCAAACTCGGGTTGTGAGGTATGCTTCACAAAACCAGGCTTCAGTGCTGAAGAGCTCCTGGGACAGGAGAACCCAGGGATCCCTATATCTCAAACCCCCCCTAAACCCGTAATGATCGTCAGTCTGCTCCCGACATGATACACAGCGTGGAAGGGGAACATTTGTGCGGCGCAGCTCCCTTTTCGCACTGGTCGGGAGAGCCACGGTGTGATAATTACACAGAGACAGCCGTGTAGTGTATGGGACCTAAGACCGTACCATACTGTACCCCAGCATCTGGATATGTGGCCCAGCTGGTACATGGGGAGAAGCGAATTCCAGAAGAGTCAACCGTAGCAACAGCAGAGAGAAGAACACTGAAAATTGAAAAGAAACCGGAGGGGCTGTTGGGCAAGGACGACAAAACAGCAAGGCAGTCAGACAAGCAATAACCCGTGGTCACTGATCATGCCATTCCCACACTGTCCAATCCGTAACCAAGTAGGGTCGCTTGGCCGAAAAAGGCCACCTTTTGGCATCTTTTCCAAACCCCGACAATGCACATAATCCGACTGCTAATCGACGAAGCCTGGCTGCTTCATATACTCCGTAATCTTACGATACGCAAGAGAGCCTGGACAATTGTCTGCCAACCGACCCCGCAACTCAAATCCTAAACCCTCAAAACCCCTGAGTCCTCGTACCCAGTTTTCAACCAGAGCCAAAGTCGCCGTTTGTCACAACCCCCTGGGTCTATAGCTCAAAAGCCCTAAAAAGAAGGATACCAATCACACATCCACGAAAAGCTGAGCAGCTTGTTGATAACAGCGAGCTGCTGGGCCACAGTCAGAAGCTGACCTTGAATGCTTGTTTGGGTGTTTTACTTTTACTAGTCTCCCCAGGTCTCGCGGGCTTATATGGTTCGAAGTGCGCTTGTCGCCAGTATCCCACCACATATAAGACCCAAGACATACACTCATCAGTAATTATGTAAAAGTTGTCTGATATATCCGCACCAAGCTGTCAACTTCTGAGATTAAGTCTAAGACAAAACGCAACAGCACTTAAGCTGCAAACCCCCAAACATCCAGAACCCTCTTAAAGCTCGGGTCCTAAAGCCTTGAGCTTATGGAATGCTTTGAGCAGATGTAGGCACCTGAAAAACTCGAAAAGGTTTTCGAGCAGTGCTATAATCGTGTATTTTGGTTCCTGTAGGGCCTTTGAGAACGAGAGAAGGTTTTCTCAGGGATTTATGGGGCAGGTTAGGACTTTCGGCGAGTTTGTCATAAGGCCTTGAAAAGTAGACTGGGGTTCCGGGCTACTTTACGGTAGTGCGCTCTATAATAAGAAACAAGAAGCCCATTAAGCTTTAGGATATTTTAGGATGCATTCCTCAGCTAAGCTTACTGCTGATCCGCTATTCGTGGGAGACACCAGCTCTGAACCCGCCCTGAAACCGTCTTCGAGGAAGGAACTCCAGACCGTCACTGCAGCTTCAAGCCGGCAACCAGCAGCAGTTCCTTCAAACTTTGCCCTGAGCATTTACGGCTTAGGGCTTCCAGAACTATATACTCAAAACCTACACTCTGAACCCCATTTTTTTCTGCCCTGGCCCTGGCCCAAACCTGTAACTTCTTTAGCCGAGACTTAACAACGTCCCACCAAGCGACTCAGGGCCAGTGCGACGATGGAGAGGTGTGCCACTTGAGTGGCCCGGTCAGCATCCTCACACTCTAAGCCCTTTCTGCATCCAGGTCTCTCAGCCCTTTGCATCCAGCCTGCAAAAGCCTCTGCCTGGAACTTAAGTAAAGAACCGTGAAACCGTAAATCCCGTTTTTGAGCAGGGGCTGCAATGCACGAAGCATGCGAAGCGTGTTGCACTGCTTGCACCCACTGGTCCCTAAACTTCTGAACCTTCATTCCGCACACAAACTTCGGTTTTCGGGTGTAAAAGGTCTATTTGAAGCTCCAAGCCCTTCAATGTTTACCAGGCTATAGCACCATAGTTGTGGGAAAGTGGGATGCAACCAGGCAATGGGACTTTGAGGTTGGGCTTCAGGTCTACGTTTAAAAGCTTATGCATTTTGACCTCTGCTGCAGGTCTTCCTGATGCTTGTGCCGCGAAATGATACGAAGGACTCTGGGGTACATTTACCATGTCTGCAAAGAATTCGGATACAACATTATTTACTAAGTTAGTAAATAATGTTGTTTAGAGAGTACTGTAGGTTAAACCTAATCTCTAAAATGCTGTCCCAAGTTTCAACATCATTGCGCCACAAACATTAACCCAAAGAGCACACATATTTTTATGCAGGAGCATATTCTCATCCGGACCATGAAGCCCGTCTGGATTAAGGATGATTAAGGTCTATTCCCTACGCGGCGGGTGCGGGGCTGTCTGGGAATGATCTGGGATTTACTAGCTCAGAGAAAAATAAAAATCTCACATAAATCAAGATCTGAATGCCAACATGAAGGCCACCCCCTTGGTCTCCACAGCACAACGATACAACGTTGAACGAGCCCGTTTTTGTAGGGGCTGAGGCTTCTATGAGGATTGTGAGGATTTATGCAAGAGATTGAGGGTTTTGGAACAACCGAGAGCCGACAACCAGGCTCACTACGCAAGGTTTGCAACGATGGCCACGTACAAATTTCCCCAGCATCCTTCTAGCAGGGATGGAGAAGGGGCATCGTTGCATGCAAAGAGCTACGTTGAGGGAAAGGTAAAGCACGGCGATGAGGCACACAATCACGACGGCCGCCAAAAGAATAACGGCGTACCTTGCAATAGCTGCCGACAAGATCTGCTATGTACTCTTATGTCTTATGTATTCTTCAAGAGTAGCCGCAGTGCGAGATCATGCAGTATGTGCCCACTGCGGCAAAGGCTGACTAACGTGGCAAAAGACACCCAGTTTCCGTGTGGGCGAGAACCGACCGGACCGTGACGGCGAAGTCTCACAGACCCACATCCCCCATAAAGTCTTACGACATCGCCTGATGATGCCTGATGTGAAACGGCCCGTCTTCGCGACTTCATATGTGTTCGGGGTGCAGCGATTAAGGTTCGCCGCTGCTGGGAGGTGTGCATACGGAGTCCTGCTGTCACAGGTCTCGTTAAGAGACGAAGGTATCGGGTTTTGTTTTCCGAGACTCCCCTGCCAGCCTCTTGCACGGAAGGCAGTCGTGGAGCTTCGGACTGAAACGTTTACAAATATTGTAAGTGCATTTAGCAGCTCATGTGATGTCACGAAACCGTAAACCTCAGCGAATTTTAGGCCGAAAAGAGAAGCCTGAAGAATGCCACAGGGATGCTGCCCTACTCCTATGGCATGCACAACAAGATTTAGACCCCGAAGCATTTTTTGCTACAAGCTACCATGACACGCCTACCCAAAGGCCCCAAAGTAGTTCCTTTTTGGGGCTTATATAAAGAATCCAAAAAGGTAACCCCAAAAAAGAAAACTACTTTGGGGCCTTTGGGTGCTGTAACCCTACTGTAACCAAACCGCAGCGCAAGATTCCCAGCAAAAAAAGAAACCGAGGATCCTGAGCCCAGAGATGCCATGATGGGGGCCCTAAATTACTTAGGGTTTAGGGTTTAGTGTTTAGTGTTTAAGGCTTAGTGTTTAGTGTTTAGGGTTTAGTGTTTATAAGTTTAGGGTTTAGTGTTTAGGGTTTAGTGTTGAGGGTTTAGGGTTTAGGGCCTACCCAAAGGCTCCAAAGTAGTTCCTTTTTGGGATTACCTTATAGGATTCTAAACACGAACCCCAAAAAGGAACTACTATAGAGCCCTAGGGTAGAGTACTTAGGGGCTGAATACCCTAGCCCCCCGCAAAAAGCTAGCCTTTTCAATGATGGCAGGGTGACAGAAGCCCCAAAAGGCCAAAGGTTACCTACTCAGCTACGAGGATGACTGTAGACTAGACGGCGGGCTTGAGGGGACTTGCTAGTATGGCTATTAAGGTTTACGGTTGAGGGTTTAGAGTGTGCTTAGTTTGGAAATCTACAGGAGATCTAACGGGACGTTTGGGAGATGAATAGGTGGTTACTTTTCAGACTCGACTCTCGGTTGTTGTCTGGAGATTACGTCCCATTCTTCACCGGACAAAGATCCGACTACTTCGGGTCTATCTTATCGGGTTCCTCGTTTTCTGAAACTCTCCTGTTGAAAAGCAACCTGACAACCCCAAAACACCCGAAATCTCAAACCCTGAACCCTGATCGTCCCTAAATCGAAGACCCCCCCCCCCCCCCGAACATCCAAGCCCGATCAAAAAATGGGATTCAGGTAACTGAGTCGAGGATTTCTTCTACACGGACTCTTATTCAATTCCTCTGGAGCCCAATGCTTTAAAGACCTGCAGTTCTAAAGCGACACTGAAGCCCTCTCGCTGCTGCACAAGACAACAAAAGGAAACACACTCTGTAACATGCTCACTCCAACCACCCCGTAATTCGTACACTAAGAAGGTACTTCTTGAAGCAGCAGCAAACCCAAAAGCGTCCAAGGGCAGCCACCAACAAAGGCCCATAATCCTGGACCCACAACCCTAGACCAAACCAGCTAAACCCAACCCCTAGCCCCGACCCCTACAAAACTAGTAGGTCAAGCAGACCGTATGATTGTACGACACCGTAGACTTCTGCTTCCAAAGCTGCGAAGTGCCGGTGCAAGGGCCGCAGGTCCCATCGCGGAGAGCTTGGAGTCCCGGCAGACAATCGTAGCCTCAGGCGTTTTGATGAGGGTTTAGGGCTGTTTAGTGTTTGGGGGTTAAGGGTCTAGGGATAAGCATCTGGGGCTACGGGCGGAGCATCTTGTGATTTTGGCAGCTGGTCCGGGCGTGGTCCGATCCTTCTTATTCGTGGGTGTGGTTGGCCCTCTTTTCTGTGGTAAGGCGAGCTTGGCGAAAGTCTGCTCCCGGAAGCATGGGAACATAAATGCAGAACCTCTAGGGCTGTTGGTTTGGATTGGGCCGGTGCTATGCACATACTTGTGATTAGGAGACCCTACAGACGGCTACATATTAGCGCTCATCCAGGCAAAGAGGTCAAACCAAAGAACCATGCTAAGTAGGATCACGCGAAAGCCTCATGCCTGGTTTGCTACAAACTTCCGAGCCGAAGTTCCAAGACAATGACACATGCAAAGCCTTCAACCCCTCTAAATCTTGAGAGTCACCTTCTTTAACAGTAGCCATGGGCAACAAAGGTCAAGACTTATAGAAGTGCCAGTGACGAAATCTCACGACTTCCAAAGCCTAACAGCCAGCTATAGCAGGTTAGGGTTTAGGTTTGGATAAACCCATAGCGCTCTAAGACTCCCTAATCAGCGCTCATAGTAAACCTGCAAGAAAGGAAGCTGGAGCCCGGAGGATCAAGGCTGAAGCTCCCCATACTGTGCTCTAACGGATAGAGCTTCTTAAGCTTGCAGCTTCTCGGCGGCAACTGTATGTCGTACTGAGAAACCCTACCCCTAAAGTCCGAAACCCTATAACTTGTCCAAGGTTCAGGTCACAGAGCGAGGGTCGCGACCTTCGGCGCAGGTTCCAAGGGCTCCGCCCGGACATCGGGAGCCGTCACCGAAGCATCGGAAAATGTTGCCTTGGCTGTCAGCATCAAGGCTTGGGCAGGCTTTGTTGCAAGGGTTGTAGATGAGGTCTTGGAAAGTCTTTGTCAAGGGCCGCTGTTTTCCTCCGAGCATCGAAGTCTCCAGGTGTGGGCCGGTGTGGGTTATGTGTGTGTGTGTGTGTTCAGGCATAGAGAGTTTAGGACTTGGGACTGTGGGTGCTGGTAGGCTCATTGCAGGGCGTCAGAATGCTTCTTGATTGAGGCTGGACGTTGGCTCAAACTTACTGTGCTTGATTGAAATTTCTGTTTGGCAGGGATTGAACCCAAAGCCCTTGACCCCAAAATCTAGACTCTCCCAAACCTTCAACGGTAAACAGTCTAGACCTCGGCGAAGCTAAAAGCCAAGCCGAAGGTTGCGAAGCCCACGAAGTCCAAGCCCATGAATCCCGACTTGGAAGGAAGGTTCTAGGACAGGCGCCTTGTCATCCAAAAGCCCAGAAACAGAAAGGCAGGAATGAACACCGACACGAAGGACAGCGAGTCTGAAGACTGTCGACAGGAGACCGACAAACGATCTTCACAACGCTGGCTTCACGCCATACCATGACTGTATTGAGCATACCTGTGCTAGCGTGTGGGCTTTTACAACAGTGTAGCGAAACAGAGCATTAGGGATGTCCCCCCCCACCTCCCCCAAGGTTCCGCACACTTCACGAAAGTCCTATAAATGCCAAAGGCCACAAAGCCTAAAACACACCGAACCCGGAGTCCCTCACGACGCCTGATGCAACAACAGATGCGGCGCACACAGATTTGAAAATAAATCCCTTCAAAACCTGACACCAAGATGCTTAGATGCCTACAACCCCCGCCAGAAGAAGTCACCCCCAACAACTAAAGAAACACATCAAAACCCGAAAACACCCCCCCAAACCATCCCTCCATTTGCAGGAGAGAGACCCGGCTCCTCGCGAGTTCACGAACATAATGCAGGGGATACTGTTTTTGTTTAAGCACCCTTTTCCTTGCAGCGGAAGCCCCTGGGGTCAGGTGTCCTGTACGGGATATTGGGTTTAGGGTCTGGGGTTGTAGGGTATAGTGGTCTGAAGAATATTCGAAATGGGTTTTACCTGATAATAACGCTTCTAAGGATTCGCCCCGTGTGGTCCCTATACGAAGCTAATGTAGTCAGTCTAGTACCCCCCCAAAAAAACTTTCTCAATATCCAGGTCCATCCAACATCTAGGGATGCTAGGGATTGAGGTCTCAGGACATCTGGGGTTTCGTCTTTCTCTCTTGATCTTTTACCGGACCACTTTCCTTCGCAGAGAAACGTCACTCTGACTAGGCTATAAGGGGTTTGGGACTTTAAACCCTAAACCCTAAACCGAACCATTGGGAATTTTTGAGAGCTTGGGGTACCCATCCATACCATACCATACCATACCATCCCCTATACACCCCCTCCCCTCCCCTCCCCTCCCCTCCCGCGCCGTGCCATGCCATACCAAACCATACATAAGGATAGGCTCACACACATACAAACATAACCATAGACATAAATACATATGAACATGTATATACATACACATACATGTACATGTACACATACATAAACATAGACTTGTTTACACATAGACAAATACACTACACGCACGCACATGCGCACATACACACACACACACACATTTACACATGCATGCATATATACATATGCATACACATATACATAAACAGAATCACATACATATACATATGCATATAAAGTTCATGCAAATACATGCATACATACGTATTTACGTACATACCTACATACGTACGTAAGTACATATACACACACTCTATGTATGTCTGTATGTATGTATGTATATATATATATATATCGAAATTATTCTGTATATATATATAATGAAATATGTGTGTGTATATATATATATGCACTAGATGTGCACGAACTATATGGGCATATTGCTGCTTCCCAACCTCCTCCACGGCGAAGTATCCCGGCAGCAGCTCCACTTCGATGGACCTTTTCGCAGGAGCCAATCCCGAAGCCCCGAACTCCATACGGACTTGCCGGGTGTAGGACTGAGGGTGTCTAATGTAGGGGCCTAAATGAATATGCATCAAAATCTTATTCTGCTTATTACGGCCCCTATATTACGCTTTCACAACTCGGACTTGCCGGATGAGGTCGCCAGATCTCACGCACGAAAATCCAGAGCATGCCACGTGCAGACGAAGTGCTTACACAAGAGTTGTTTGGATGAGGGTGGACAGGGTCTAGGTTTGGGGTTTAGGGCATGTGAAGCTTTCAGGGTTCGGTTTAGGGTTGTTTATCTACGTATCTAAAATCCACATCTTTAACCCGAAGCAAGAAAGCCTGCTTGAGTTTCTGACCTACGCAGAGAAACCTTTGCATAAAGAGCGCTCAGGACTCTACTCTCTCTCTCTCTCTCTCTCTCTCTCTCTCTCTCTCTCTCTCTCTCTTCCGTTTAAGTGAGGAGAACCCCGCCTTGGCACATCCCAAGCCCCGCATACAGCTAACCAGCAAGCACTTTCCCAGCTTTATCTGAGAAAATGAAGCCTCACTCTCCCTCATCTGTTGACATTCCAGGTTATTTACTTTCTTCAGCTCATGAGAAGGCAGTGCCTCTATGGGCAAAACGCCTCAGATTCGACAGTCGTCGGATGTCGGAGTCTGAAACTTCGAAAGGTTTAGGTCATAAGTTCCTAAACCCTGAACCCCTAAACCCCAATGGGCTCTAGGACTATACCCTTCGCCTCAGAAGCCTGAAGACTCGAAGTTTCTCAAAATCTCGCGCCAGGCGGCCCAGGGCAAAGGGCGCCCCGCATGCAAGGTGTGCACAAACCATTGCTGCTCAAGTACCTTGGAGTTTTGAGCTCCTCTTCTTCTCCCAGGCTTAAGGAAGGGTCTAGTCAGGCCCCCCGGGCACTATGAGCTACTCTCTCTCTCTTTTTTTTTTTTCTCTCTCTCTCTCTCTCTCTCTCTCGAAGGGTCAGGCCTGGTCGAAGGGCAACATCTGCGCCACTCGTAAAACTACAGATAGGAAAACTCCAGAAACTCTAACTAGCCTGGCTGATCAGTCGGTGGTCTTCCGAGCGGGTTCACTCGGGCTACTAAACCCCATAACTCCAAACCCAGAATCCTTTTTTACACCCACACCTGGTGCTTCGAGTGACAGGTAACCCGAAACTCTAACTCAATAGGTTCGTCGCTCTCCGGCACCAACTCTTCCGCTTCCCAGAGACAGCGACAATCCCCCTTAATACAGCACAGCATAGTAAGCCAGGTTTATAGTGTATAGAGTGTAACATGTAGTAGAACATATGTAGATACACGATGCCGTATACTGCAGAAAGTTTACCATATGTAGTAGAAAGTCTGTACCATGACACCTGTAAAATGTAGTATATGGTAGATAGTACTTGGCATAGAGTGCACAGTATGCGGTACCAGGCATCCAGTACATAGCAAAACTCTGGTTGAGATCAAGTATCATAAAGCATACAGTACAAAGAACACAGTATACAGTAAACAGTACGTAGTGCATTATGGTATAGTGTGGAGTCCAGTACAAAGCATAGTGCAGAATAGAGTATGGATGGTGGAGTATGGTATGGTATATAGAGTACCATATAGAGTTCAGTATAGAGTATAGTTACTTAGAGAGTGTAGGGCAGAGTAAAGAGTATATTTAGTACACTACACTGTAGTCTGGTATGCTCAAAGAAGTTGTTACGGAATATTGCAAAGCAGGAGAAGTACAAACACTCCCCAACCAAAGCCCTAAGAACATTAACCCTAAATCGTAGACCCTAAAACCTCACCCCACAAGCGTACTAAGCCGACAAACCCTTTAGAAAGACTCGAGCTGCCAGCCCTCGACGCAGCCGCAGAAGCTTTCCGAAACGGCGCCATCGACCTCGATCCACTTCCTCGGAGTCTGCGCTTCAAGGCCCAAGCGACATATATAGGCGGCTTAATAATTAGACTAGGGTTTTCGGGACCGTTGTACTATAATCATAATCAGGATACTGCAGAATAGTATAGGTAGTTATTTAGGCCCCTTTCTTAGTAGCCGTAAAGGCTCTTTAAGGGATTCATAAAGGTTTGTTGCCATTACGATAACCTTCTTTAGGGTACTGGTATCCCTGCTTGCCTACCTCAGTTTCAGAACCTACCCCCTTCACGTTGATATAGGTTTAGGGCTTTTTGTGATCGAAGGCTTCCAGCATAACGGGGCCTGCTTGAAGCCGGCATTGTAGCTTATTTAGGGGCGGACCCACTTGATGTCCAGTCTGGGATAGCATCCTTCAGCGTGGAATTAAGAGCCTATTTTCGGACCTACCACAAAGTTCAAGGTTGAGGTCATAAATTTCAGGGTTTTCAAACCCGGACATCGAAGACGGCACGTCGGCACGTCTAGGTTCGTCATAAAGCACGATGCTTTTCATACGGGAGTAATCTTTCAGCAGACTCCAATCTTTAGGGTTCAGGGTATAGGCTGTAGTTTCAAACAGCCAGTCCGTCATCATCACGAAATTTATGCACATACCTGCATGCTGCATGTTTACATGCACACAAGAGAGAGAGAGAGAGAGAGAGAGAGAGAGAGAGAGAGAGAGAGAGAGAGAGAGAGAGAGAGAGAGAGAGAGAGAGAGAGAGAGAGAGAGAGAGCGAGAGCGAGAGCGAGAGCGAGAGAGAGAGAGAGAGCGAGAGCGAGAGCGAGAGCGAGAGCGAGAGCGAGAGCGAGAGAGAGAGAGAGAGAGAGAAAAAAAAGAGAGAGAGAGAGAGAGAGAGAGGGAGGGGGAGAAACAGAGAGAGAGAGAGAGAGGGAGGGGGAGAAAGAGAGAGAGAGGGAGAGAGAGAGAAAGAGAGAGAGCTGCCACATTAACCCCTGCACCGGTGCGTGGATCAATACTTCCCCAGGCCACAGAAGGAAACTTTAGCCCGCACTACATGCACCCTAATCGCTTGAACCAATTTCCAGAGAATTCTATGCATCAGGAATTAGGGGCAACTGCCGTTAACCCGAAGCATTACACGTGTCACAAGCCCTTACTGAAAATACCGTATTATAGGGTATGTCCTTGAGCCAAAGCGTCTTCAAGTATGAGAGTTGTTAGAATTTCATGGCCAGGTCGCTCTTTTCCATCATTCATCACTGCTTTCAGGGTCGTCGATCGGTTGCCTCTCGCGCAGCTTGCATGGCTTGCTTGGGGCTTGAGGACTTCACTTTGTTTCGAGGGACCTTTCATAGGTTTCACGGAGCTTTATCTCAGTTGCCCATACTTGGCTTGTGCCAGCACCAGTATGCTTTCATTACGATGGTGTGCGTGAATGACGATCCATGGATGACAGGAGGTTGCAATTTCCCATACTCTGGCGACAGAGTCATTATGGGCTATACTGTGGCTGTAAGGACCAAAGCCTCGAGAACGACACCAAAGACCCCCAGCCGTTCAACCAAACAACTCGCAAGTTCCAAACCCTGAGCTTGTCGAAAGCCAAAGCTCCACTCTAATGAAGGTCGTCACAAGTCACAAGTAGTGTCGGTGGAGGAGGGGTTCAAAAGGAACAACCGAAAGACCTGACTTCGGGTCAGGACAAGATGCCTCCGCTGCACGCAACGCAGTCGGTCGCTCCTGATGCCTGCGAGCTTATCTTACGGTTTAAGGTTTACGCTTTGGGGTTTTTTGGTCGTCGGATTATTACATAGGTATATGGGGTACTGAAACTTTGCGCGTCTGGAGTTAAGGATTCGGGGGCTTGGGGTTGCGATGCCGTGGCATAGCAAACGTCATTATTGTTTTGATTGAGGCTTCAGATTTGACGAACTGCGCTTGGGGGTTTGGGGTCGAGTTTGTGGAAATCTGGAAATGGCATTCAAAAATCAGTGACAGGGACTCGTTTCCTGAAAACACCATGAAGTGCACTCGACAAAACACCTGAGTGATGGGAGCATCTTCGGCTTGTTTCTGCGGATGCCTTTTTCTTAAGGCTCCGACTGAAAGAAAACAACACTGTGACCAATGTGCCGTTCAGTATACGATACCCCCCTTAGAACCATAACAATAATATGTGTTTCAATACTCTCTTGGGTTTTATATGAACAAAAATACAAAATAGTTCTTAAGGAGACTATAGTATATTATGGAAGCTGCAAGACCTCAGACCCAAACGACAGCCACACCGAGCCCAAGCCTCAAACGCAGTGCTTCCAAATCCCAACCGTCAGCCCTACCCTAGGGCTCCATCGTAGTTCCTTTTTGGGGTTCATATATAGAACCCTCTAAGGTAATCCCCAAAAAGGAACTACTATGGAGCCTATGGGTAAACACTGAATCCTAAACCCAAGACTGTCAGCTGCAAGGCCGAAGCGCTACAGTTCATTATAGACAGACCCTAGGGGGGTCCAAAGGACCCCAAAATCAGGTACTCGGTTTTAGGATGTTATGTAGGTTACTATTTTGGAGAGTATATGATGATTGGGTACTTGGACCCTTAGGGAGAGTCCTGCATGCCCGGTTGATCTCAACTATAGCTGTAGCTTCGGGGCTGCCGACTGCCAAGTTCGAGCGTTCGCGGCTAAGAGCTTCGGGTTTTAGGGTGAGGGGTTTAGCGTATAGGGTTCGGGGCTTAGGGTATTCGGGGTTTAGGGTTCAGGGGGCTTAGGGCATGTAGGGTTCAGGGGTTTGGGCGCTCAGGGTTTTACGGTTGAGGGCTTCAGCCTTGAGATGGGGAGCCTCTATCTGAATTAATCGTTAAACAGGATTCGTATCATAGGCATGCTAATGCGAGTGCTTATGACTGTTACAGTAAGGTGTCGTAGGCTTGGAGGTTCTTAAGGTTTGGGAAGACTTATATGGTCTCTAAGCTTAGGATAAGGCTTGTGGAGTTTGGACTCGGGGTTTGGCTCTCGTGCTTTCGAGCTCACCTCAGACTCACCTCAGGGCTGCCCACAGCCCATCGTTCGAGACCAGATGCTATACATGCCCAAAAGCCAGCAACCCTTGATTCAAAGGCCCCAACGGTGGGATGGATCTAGGTGGAGCAATCCCAAAACAAGAGCCCTTCTACAAGGGATCCTCAACCCCACGCACCCTAAACCCTAAACCCTACATCGCAACCGCAAATTTTTTGAGGCCAAGCAGCGTTCGTGTAGCGTCCCAGGGGACATCGGCTGCAGTAAGCTTTGCCTTCCTTGTCAGCTGAAGTTCGGGGCCTTCATAACTGGAATTGGGTTCCTTTTAAAGGGATCCTTGAAGGGCTCTATAAGGAAATCATAGTAGGGTTCTATAGTGTAGGGGCCTTAATACTTAGAATAGGGCTTTGGGGGTCTATTATACTATAGGTAGAATAAGGAACCCCCAAAAATTGTATAGGTAATTATTGAGCCCCTAAAGCTGGGGCCTCAATAACTTCGGGCTGCTTCGGGTTTAGGGCTTTAGGGGTTACAGCAGGGGTTTAGGGTTTAGGGGCTACGACAAGGGCCTTAACCATTCAAATCGGGTTTTGGTGTGCATATTCTAGTACAGTTGTTACAAGGAGCTATGATGACAAATATAGTTAATTATTTAGGCTTCTGTATTTTGCTCACGAGAAGTATAAGGGGTTCTCATTTGATACAGGTTTCAATAATGGTCGCAAGAACACGGCATATGTGTATGTGTGTATGTGACAACCTTGTATGAGTTGAGCAGCATCGGAAAAGAGTTCGCAACTCAGAACGACGGCAGGGCAGAGAAGATCTCGACACTCCAATGTGGGATTGTGGCTTTTGGCGTTAGTTGCGGCTTATAGGGTCTTCAAGCAGTTAAACTGGGCGTTCAAGGAGTATTTGGTTTGGAGGCTTAGGCACTTAAAGCTCTTTGGCATTTGGCGTTTTGGGGGCACTCAGGGTTACGGCTTTACGTTGAAGAGCCTCGTCCGAGGATTTAGATTCAAGAGCATCGGCTGACGCGTTGGCCCTTGGCACTCAACACCCAGAGACATGCTTCACGGTTAAGGCTTGGGAGTTTAGTTTAGGGTACCTGCCTCGTTGGCGTAGGTCCCTATGTCGCATTGCCCGCAGAACGTCTCCCCAAAGGTACCTGGGCTGGTTATCTGAAGTATTGATGCGAGCAGGCTTGACATGAAGCTTTGCATCTTCGGGTTCAGGATTTGGGCTTCAGGGTTTCAGGGTCCTGTCTCGAGGAAAAGTCATGAGTATGGAGGCATGAACAAGACTAAGTTTGCAAACCCTAAAGGAAACTGACCCAATCGCTATGCTGAATCCACGTCCCTGAACCTACCCCCCCCCCCCCCGCAAGGTACTTCCGACATTCTCCTCTATGCTGAAGTCTCAACCCCCGACACAGCAGCTAAAATCTGAAAACGTACGCCTCGAACTCGAGCCCCAACGATCTTTAACCCGAAGCCCGAAGGTCAAAGATGTCCGCCGTCATCGCCATCATCATCTCCAGCAGCATCACCAACGTCGTCGTCCTCGTGCTCATCGTCATCGCCACCGTCATCATCATCAGCGCTCTCATCATCATCATAACCATCATCGTCGTCATCATCATCGCTGTCTTCGTCATCATCATCATCAGCATCTTCATCATCATCTTCATCATCATCATCATCATCACAAGCAGCACAAGCAGCACGAGCAGAAGCACATTGAACCGTTCACCACAGCCAGGGACTCTGTGAGGTGCCAAGTCTGCAGGGGATGCAGCCTGCAGTGCGAAGCTGCGACATCTGTGGTTCCAAAAAAAAGGGGCCTTAAGAATTAGAATAGGGCTTTCGTGTATAAATCATACTATACCGCTGTAGTAATTTCTGTGGTTCTACGTTCTTTTAACGATCCTTTGCCGTCTCGCTGAGAGTCGGTTTAGGGTTTAGGGGTTGGTTTTCGTTCTTATCCACAGAACAGGGCAGCCTGCATGGGGATTTCATGAAACTCTTGTTCGGGGTCTGTGATATTTCAGGCTCTCGACATTGTGGTTTAAGGTGGAGGCTCTGAATGTGTTGGTTCGGGGAACTCGGCGCCGCCAGCCATGAGTTCTTCCACGTCGTGAGTTCCCGTCCTGGATTTCTTTCGATTCGTAGCTCGTGCGAGAAGCTCCCTGAAATAACCTTCAACCTTTTTTTGAACAGGGCGTTCTGGCTGTCAGAACGACCCTCCGACCTGTGGCCACCCTCAACACTACAGGCCCTCAAGCCCTGACTCGACCTCGAGGATCAAGGGACGTGCCAAAAAAAGCTAGTTCTCCGGCTCTCCGGCCAATCGTTTAGAACCGTTTAGGGTTTAGGGCGTGAAGGGTTTTGCTTACAGCCCAAACCCGGCACCCCTAGATATGAGTCCTGCACACAAACACACACACACACAAACACACACACACACACGCACGCACACACACACACACACGTTCACAAACACACGATCTTGAGGTTCTCAGCATACTTGACGCCCCAAGCGTCAAGGCCACAACCCCAACACCCCAGGCAAACAATCCTACAGGCCCAACTCCCCGAACGCCCTAGATCTCCGACAACACCAGAAAGAACCCCGGTAGGAACACCTATCCAAGCCCTTGCCAAAAGAAATCGAGTACGATCCCCCAGACACCCGTCACCGGGCATGCCTTTTCCATGAACTGTAGGGTTATTGGGTTTGGGGGTTTCGGGTTAAGGGTTTAGGGGTTTAGTGGGTTAAGGGGTTTCGGGTATAGGGATCATAAACTCCTCTATGAGCCCCTTTTCTCAAGGCGTCTGAGATGCGGTGCGTGGGACCGAGCTCATCCGCGTAGGGCTCGGAAGCCTGGCTGGAAGGTCTCTTCGTGAAAGGCAGGCTTTAGGGTTTAGGGGGTTTAGGGCTTTTAGGGTTTAGGGTTTATAAGATAATCATTTTCCACCTCGCCTGTCGAGAGGGTGGGGTAATTACTTGCGTGCAACCTTGCCTCTTCGATTGCTTTGTTTGTCCGTTTGTCTTTCTGTCTGTCTCTCTCTCTCGGTCTGCCTGACTTGTCTCTGCCTGCCTGCCTACCTGCCTGGCGGTCTGCCCGTCTGTTTGAGTGCGTGGCTGTCTCTGTCTGTCTGTCCGTCTCTGTTTGTCTGTCAGGCTCCCATTCTGTCACGTCTGTCCATCTCTCACGTCTGTAACGTCTGTCCAAGGTCTGCTAGTCAGTCAGTCAGCCAGTCAGCTGGGCAGTCAGTCAGTCTGTCAGCCTGTCAGATCTATCCGTTTGTTTCTTGTGTCTGTATGTTGTGTGGGGGAAGTTTATGTGAACAAGGTCTACTGAGGGTCAACGGACCGTCTTTCTAAGCCTTTTCTTTAGAGGAGAATCTGGTCTGGGGCTACTTTGTGGGACTCACCTGATTCAGACTTAAGGGTTTCTGAATTAACATACGTATGAGTCCTTAGAGCCTGGGGGTATGGATTGAGGGTTGTGACGCTTGCACTTGGACATGGTAAGGCCTGCAAGACACTCCAGCAGTCACACCACGAAGCGAAACGTTGGTAACCCCTGAGCGCTTGCCTTACAGGAAAAGCCACCCCAAACTAAGCACCCGGTAAAAGATATCCCATTGACGGTGCCCTACCGGCGGCAGCGAAGCTTCGCCCTGAAGCCTCCACTCTTCCTAGAAATCTACAACCCATCCGAGTCGATCGAAGCCGTTTCAATATGAAACCCGGTAATTAGGCCCCATAGACCCTCGACCCTAGACAGCCTTCACAAGTTCAGAACTCACAAAAGCACTCCTGAACCTTATGAACCTTCAGTCGAGCTCTGTAAGGTAATTTAGAGGGGCATTAAGGTTGAGGGTTATACCGGCAGAATTTTCGTAAGGAGCCCTAATGTTTCTGTATCAGGCACTGGGAGTCATCCAAAAGCGCGCCTTTCCAGCAGGGCAGAGGCTGCAACCTGTAGCCTGGCTTAGAGTTTAAGGTTTAGGGTTTTGGGGGGTTCAAGCTGACTTCATCTTCGTTTCGTGTTGTGTGTGTGTGTATCCCATTGGCCCGGGAGTGCGCGTGCGCGTGTGCTTGTTTGTGTATGTTTTTACTGCGGGTTGGTGCTGGTTTTTCGACGGTCCAACTGGAAGATGATCCGGGTTGAAAGCTTCAGGGGTTGGGCTTCAGGCCAAAGGTAGATCACCAACCTAGGGCCCCAATCATCAGAACCCGGTTATTTTGAAGTTTAAGAAAGGTATGAGGAGGCTTAGACATCTTATAGGGCTTTTCGCCAGAGTAATCCGTGTTGGGCTTGAGGCCTACACTCCCCCAACCCCCTGTTGGGGAAAGTCTCCAAAGACATCTTCAGCCTGGAGCACAGCATAGCGATGAAGGGTCAAGACGGTATGGTTTAGGACCGTTTAGCATTTGGATCTCGGGTCTAGGGTTCTCCAGATCGAAGCCTTGTGGCACCGATCAGCGCACATAGATCTGTTCTGCCAAACATGGCCGACTGATAGAATGCAAGACCTCAACTACGAGAACAAGATGTCGCACCGTCAACACGAAACATTACACCAGCAGCAACTCCTCGAGTGGATTATAAGCTCGGTATACATAAGCCAAGTCTGAAACAGATGTAAAATGACCCCTTCTGTCTGACGAGCCCCGATGAAAACAAAACTAAACCACAAACCATAACACACAATTCCCAAACCCTAAACTGACACCACAGGCTCCCGAAGCTCGGCATCCGCAAAATCCACACAGCCATAGTACTCGCACCAACTTTAAAATAGAATACACCATAGCTGACAGAAATATTGATTGTCGATCACAATAACCCTTGAAAGCTCAATATATAATCGTACCAACAACAAAAGACTCAAAGGCTAGTAGTCATAAACAAGAATGGTGCTAGTTCGTGTGGACAAACAACGACAAGGATAGCAACAATAGTCGTAACAATCATACTGCTAATTGCAGTAACCGAAATTTGAATAGTATCCTTAACCATACGGCCAGAACAAGGACCAACTAAACCAAAAGTGATGGTTATCATAACAGCACGAGTGATGATCATAGCAATAACACGGACAGTGACAATTGTAGTAATGAAAACAATAACAGAAGTAAGAACAGCAAAACCTGTTCTTCTACTTCTAATAACGAAAACAATAAACAGAATAATGGTAAACAACCATAATGATAATGATGAAGACAACGGTACACGTATGGTGACTATGATGATGCAAGCAAAACTGACTTTAGCAGGGTTTGGGGGTACACCATGCTACAAGTATACGAAGGAGCCCTGAGGAAGGACAGTGGTAGTATCTAAGGCAGAACTGAACAGGGAATCCGGGAACCCGAAGGAACGGTACTAGTACAGGGGCCTTAATGATGGGCCCCATGATACCATACTTATGATAATAAGGAACCCTCAAGTTGGTACTGGTAATTATTAAAGCCCCAGTTACTACCGTTTAATTAGTAGCCGGAGATGCGAGGACGCGCCTGGGCCCGAGTGCTAACATGCTCGCCGAGCGGATCTGCGAGTCCGTAGCCTTGTAAGCATTGCCTGCAGCTTGGTGGTTGAGGCTTCTTCGGTTGAGGCCAACACTACCTTAATCTACCATAACCTATTATAAACCCGAATATGGACTTCATAGGGACCCTACTTTTTTGTAGGTTTTGGTAGGTTAAGGTAGGACTTGAGGCCTTTGGCCGTGCCGGCGCTCACAAGTCGGACAATCCAGGCGAGGCGTTTAGGCTGTTTGGGGTTAGGGTTGTTGGGAGTTGGGTGTCCGTCTGGGTTTGGGGTGCATGCGACAAATTCAGATTGCGGATGATTGCCGATTTCAGCACCCAGACTATGAATCAATCGAACAGCACAGCAATACAAAAGCCTGAGTAGGATTGGAACGATCTGTGTACCATATGTCAATCGACAATTCCGCCCCGAATGGTTGCTTCTCCGGGCTTCCACCAAGCCATTCGAAGTGTACGGTCTGCCGATGCAGGTGGTGGAAGATGTGAGACAGTAGACTCTGGGCCGTATAATTTGCAGCAAGGCCCTGCGTTAGATGCCTCTTGTTAAGTCAACGGTTGGAGCTGTAGAACGAGGCCACTTATCTATGCGCATATATGTATATATACACATGATGCAACTACGGGTATCTTTGTAGCTAAGTATCAACAACAAACAAGTCAATCAACACAAACTATGTATGTACATGTACACATATATATATATATATAATTACACATTTAGATGCAATGTGTACATGTACTGAAGTGCATAGTTTCTCTGACAGAGACACCACATTGCGCTTTCCATTAAAATTTGAGGCAACTTGATTGAATCATGGCGGAAAGAGCTGTACATCTATAGATTCGCACTTGGGGCCACTCTGGATTCTGGAGCCTCGAGCTCATTCAATCCGTGCTTCAACGTCCTAATGCGCCCTTCATACATACAAGAAGGTGTATCGGGGATTTTGTGATATCGGTGCGGAGGCTATGATGGATATTCTTGCTATCCCACCTACAAGACCGCGATATCCCTCGATGATGGTTTTATGAGGTCCAAAGGTGCTGTAAGACAACCCCAATTACTTCAACCCCCAAACCCGAGTAAATCAAGGTCTACATATAACCACCTCACCCCCATCCGCCCACCTTGCGGCCACGTCTAAGGAACTCATATATGGTAACCCATAAATGCAAGTTTCGGGAAACTTCAGGCGGAAATCCAGCCGTCGCCCTTCGGCGATGCAATCAACCCAGAGAGCCGTAGCCCTTGTTTGATTATGGAATAAACTTGAATAGACCGTAAACTCAAGTTTGACTCAATTGGGAAACCAAAACACACAACACTCCTCCCCTTATAAATCAAGGTATACTACTCAATTACCGGTAGGGGATAGTATTGGGCTCTCTGGTAACTGCGGCAAAGTCGCGTTTCAATGGGAACCCACCTGCACAAGAGAAGAAGCTCCGGATTCCATGCATATGGGGGTTTCCGAAAATAGGGAACACTAAAATAGTACCCTAAATAGGATCAACTCCCCTAAACCCTAAGCCATCAACTTATAAGGACCCACAGAAAAAGGTACCCCTGATTTTCGGAAGCTCCCATATGGGGGCTTGGGAAACCTAGCAGGGTTGAGGGTTCAGGGTGGTTTAAAGTTTAGGGTTTAGGCGCACTCAAATTCGAAACAAGGTAAATTGAAAACTCACGATTCGGGATTGGAAGGGCTTAGGCTTTCGGCTTCTGCACGAAGTACATGCGAGCTCTCGGAGCCCATCCGCCCGGTGGTAGTCGGTCGGATCCAAGTAGCGGGACCTATCCGTCTCTCCCAAACTCCGCGGGAGCGGCCCTGGCTTCTCGTCGTCCTTCTGACGTGCCACCGGCCGCTCGCCTCGCAGGCTGTCCCAGGTCGGAACGTCAACGCGGTCCTGGTGAAGACTCAGTCGCGGCGACAGCCGCTCGGCTACCATGGAAAATAGGGCAAAACGCAGCCACAGCTTCTTCTCCGAAGAAAGAACTAACAAACCCGTTCACGCCAGGATCCTTCCTAGATCCTCATAGTCTGGGTCAAAACTTCCTAGGTATGTGCAGCAGCGTCTTTGAATCCCAACCCTAAACTTAAAACCCCTACATAGGCTGGGCCCCTGGGCTCATGTCGGTTATGCGACGAATATGCCCAGGAAGAATGCCAGCGCCCAGATGTTTTCTCCAGTCATGGCTTCCTCTCCCAAAGGTTTCACGTGATGTCCCCGGATTCCAATTAGTAAGGGGTTTGTGCGAATATACGCTCTAGATTCTATGTGTTATTGGGGTGTAGATTCTTGGGTACGGTGTTCACCGGGCATTACACTGTAACATCACCTTTCTGCTTCGAAGTATGCTGGCAGGTAGCTAGCCCAAGACAGAGCCACAATGGAGGGTCAACGCTAAACGCAACGTAATTTAAGCATATGGATGGAAATACATATATATATATATATATATATGTATGTATGTATGTAGGTATGTAGGTATGTATGTATGTATTTATAGAGAGAGAGAGAGAGTGCTATATAGTGCATATTTACATATGTACGAAAGCATGTATGTGTGCACGTATGCGTGTATCTAGGTATCTATGTATGCATGCATGGGGTGTGTGTACACACGCATAAATGCATGCATGTACATCTAGCTGCCATATTGTGGAAGACCTACCCTGCAGTCCGGAGCTGCTAGTGCCCTACCGCCCCTTTTTGCTGCGGCTTGCTTGCAAGGACGCCTACCGCCCCTCAACAGGCAGAATAGCATTCCTTATTAGTGTTCCTTGATGTAGTTTCTCATATTATGTACCCCCAATATCGCAACATTATCTATCCCAACATCGCAATTTCTAATATGATCTACCCCAACATCGCAATTCTGGTACTAATAACTCATGCACACCTCTCCGGACCGATCGGACCTCTGCCATACACTGCGCTGGGAGCGGATCCATTCGCAGGCAACTTCTGTAACCGATGCACCCACCACTACCTGAAGAAGCATCTCGAATTTAGGGGTTGGGTGTTTAGGGCTTTCGGCGTAGTCGGCCGGTCTGCGGTGAGTGATTCGATGTATATACTATAATGTGAACTGGTATGGCAACCGAATCACAGTTGGCAATGCCATGACGAAGCAAACCACTGTCCAGCAACAGAAAAACCAACAAAACAACAAACGAGAAGGCCTCCAAAAATCAGCAAATGATTACCCAAAGGCCCCATAGTAGTTCCTTTTTGGGATTACCTGATAAGATTCTATATATGATTATATGAACCCCAAAGAGGAACTACTTCCGGGCCTTTGGGTAAGCAACACTCCACGACATCAAGTATACAGCAGTGCTGCAGTCTCGAACGTCTCCTCCTCCGGTTTGATCGGTTCGAGGCTGGGTGTTTCATTTCTGGAACGCGGCGGGCCAAGTTCCCATGCAAACCTGAAAAGATTTAGGTTGGGGATTCGGCAGTTGTTCACAAGGTATTCGAAATAGATATGAACCTGTATACACCCTGCTGAAACCAATTTACTCCCTAATTGCGGTCGGGTGATGTCACTGATGTCGCACTTTGCAGGATTTCCTGTTGAAGCTCGGTGGTGATGAAATGTTCAACCCTGTCAGTGCCTGTCAGACTAAATTCTTAACGCCCAAATCCGTAAATCCTAAATTCAACAATGTTAAACCATTGAGGCAAGCCCTGAAAAACGCACACCCATGTACGCTGTAAACACCTGAAGCACAAAGGACACCGATCCAGCCTGGGTCAGGAGGTCCTGCATCTCTGTCAGCTCGAACTCAAAGCTTTCTAAGAACTTAACGACCTCGGCGTGGCGTTTGCGGGGGCTCAGGGCAGTTTGCGGCCACGGGCTTTCCACATTGCCGAAAACATCCAGAATGCTACTTTTCAGTCCGCAAGCCCTAAACACGATCAGGGTAGCACTGCTGCTCCGCAGTACTCCTCATCCAAAACAATGAGAAAAAACACGACTTCAGGCCAGGGAAGTTGTTGCCGGTAGCAATTCCACAACTTGCGTGCATCCTCCGGGGTGCACGAAAACAACAAAGCATGTCGTATGCACGGCTGGTCAGACAGGCCAGATACAGATTAGCACATCGGTTCGGACAAACACAGCTTGCACCGACGACACAACCTGCAACACCCACAGAAGCTATATTTCATGAGCTAACTGTACCGTCCTGCAGATGGTGCACAATGAAGCTCCCAAGGAAATAACAACAAAAGCCTTGCCCAATGGCCCAAAGCCTCACGGAGCCCGACAAAGACTTCAGAGCTCCACAGAAGCCCACATTGCATCGAACTTGTCTGTCTGTAGGCTTTTTTGTCCCTCCTACCTAGCAAGGACGAAGCCCGCATTGCAGGGTGTCTCAGTTGAACGGTCTGTGCGCTTAGGTCTTGGGGTTTAAGACAAACTTGTTAGGTTAGGGGAGCGTGTGTTTGGCTGGACCGGGCTGCTACATAAGGAGGCTTGTTGCAAAAAAGGCGAACTGAAGTCGTAGGCCCGAGCCCACACCAGATCCGCAACAAAACGAGCACTCACGGCCAAAAGCCCAAAGTGCGAACCTGATCCGTCTGCACAAAGATTTCGAAACTGTCATCTTCCCGAACCGAATTCTTCAGAGACAGCGTCATCTACGCAAGCACCCTAAATCCTGAACGCCGCCCTAAACCCAAAACCTTAAACCATAAACCCTAACCCTAAACCCTTAACCCTAAAGCCTAAAACTGCTTTGTGAACCGGAGGGTCGCTTGCAACTTGACTCAGACCTGTCCTCAAGATCGACTAGGAAGCCATAGAGAACTTTAGGAGGCCGGCGATGGTGTTAGCTGGGCGTGGCCCTGTCTAAAAAGTATCTAATACATGGGTGGTTGTCAATATCAGGGTCCCTTTTTTGGGTCCCCATTATCGCTACAGCCACAGCAAGGAACCCCCGAAATAGTATCGGTAATCACAAAGACCCCTGTATTAATTACAGGCGCCTCTTGAAAAATAATCTGGGTCTCCCCGACATTCGGCGCTCGGGATCGGAGATCACGCGACACGAACTTGACAATGCCTCGCATTGAGGGGCTTGAGGGGGCCTCAGGGCACCTCAAAGTTTGGGATGCAGGGGTCGGGGGGAACTTGCGCCTAATGCGGGGATGCAAGATTCCTGGTGCAGCTGCTTCTACTACTACTACTACTACTACTGCTGCTGCTGCTACTACTACTACTACCACTACTACCATTCATCATGAATAGCAAAAACTCTACTAGTGCTGCGACGTCGACGACAACGACAACGATGTCGACTACCACTACCCCTTCACTGCCACTTCCACCAGGACTCGCTGCCACTAGCACTGGCATGCAATAGCACCACGACGACGTGCGCGCGTGTATATATGTGTGTGTGTGTGTGCTGATAACAAGGAGGAAGTAGTCCCGGATGCGGAGTCGAGTCTACTGCTCCCCCCGCGAAGCATCCTCTTGCAAGCAAATTCTCATAAGGTCCACGCACCACTATAACGGGTTTTTGGCCCCCCAGTATTGCATTCTGTATGCTAGACCGAGCTTGTGGAGGCATCGGTCTGCAGTTTAAGGCTTAACTCAACACAACCATATGGGAGTTTCCGAAAACAGGAGATACCTGCTTTTGGGGTGCTTGTAACAAGGACCCTACTATTTAGGGTACTATTATTTTAGGGTCCCCTATTTTCGGAAACTCCCATGCCAAGTAGTTGCGGTCGTCCCCTTCCTCGACTCTCCTGACAGCGACATGTCCTCAACTCCGAAGGCCAAATCCGCAATCCCCAAGGCCGAAGCCGTAGAATTCCCTGATCCTACGCTCCGGGACTAACAAGACAACCTGAACCTAAACCCGCCTAATGTAGGAACCTGATTAAGAAACCTTGGGCCTTTATTAGGGTTCCTTATATGAATCCTACTATTTGGGGGTTTTAGGACCAGGGTCTCTTGATCAGGCTCCTACATTAAACCCTCAATCTGAGCAAGGTGAGTCGCTGCTTTGGGCATCCGAAGTCCGGTAATAATTCTCTGCCCATTCGATGGCCTCCGCTTTAGGAAGGATTTCGGGTTGCGGCCAGCTCGGTATTGAGGCGACCGCGTTGCAAATTAAAGCCAAATCTTAGAAGTTTTGGGCAGGATTAAAGTTCAGGCTTTAGGGTTTAGGCGTGGGGTAGAAATAAAGGTTAAGTCAACGGAATCAAGAAGGCCCAAAGTCGTGTGCTTCGAAGGCTGCAGGGTGAACAGCCTGAACCTCGGTGTGGAGTGGGTGTTAGGCTCCTTTTCTTCGGCCCCCTATCTTCTACCACTGCCGAGAAAAGTCTAGGCCTAGGCAACTGCAGAACCGGGACAGGGCATGAACTGCTGTACCTGTGGCCAAAGTTCTCCTACAGAATAACAGATGATGACCTTCGCGAGCGGGTATAACCCTCAAATCAGTAGGTACCGAAAGACATTTAAAACAAAAACAAACAAGATCTACAACTCCAAGAATCAAAACGAACAAGTTCAAGATTTAGGAGTTGCATGAGTACCAGCAGAAGCATCTGTGGCCCCGGGTTTGCTGGGCGCATGGACGCCCCGTGTTGAAATCTCCTGTTGGCTCCTTCCTAAAAAATACTGTGCCCATCATTCACAAACTACCAAACTTGCATGCAACTGATCATGGGGATGTGCAACTTATTCCTACCCTAGGGCTCCATAGTAACCAGTAGTTCCTTTTCGGGGCTCAGAAATAGAATCCTATAAGGTAATCCCCAAAAGGAACTACTATGGAGCGTATGGGTAGAGAGCCTAAATGAGCCTCACTTGGGCCTTGGATACTCTAAGTCTACTACACTCAAACATTTAAAGCGGCCGGCCCAGGTTGGGGATTCGTAGAGCTCTGTGGCCTCCATCACTTAGAGGATCAGGGGACTTAGGAAGTCCAAGCGTTCCTTAAAGAGTTTTCGAAGGGATCTATGAAGCGTCTAAGGTCTTGAGGATTAAGGCACGTCGTAAGTACGTCGTACTAATGATGCTATTGTACTCTAAATCGCATGCTTGCTATGTCCCCTGAGCCCTTTAAGTAGGGTTCACAGGTGGCGAGGGCCCAGAGGGCCGGACGATCTAAAGATGCTTTTGCCTGAAATCAGTTTGCACTTTAATGAAGAGATGGATTCCATTGCGTGAAAGTTCAAGAGATCCCCGGACTTCCTAAGCAGGCTATGACATGCGTAGAATGATCAGTAATCTAAATAGGGATATGCTAAACTCATACTCACTATCCTTTGATGTAAAGTTAGTTAACATAGATTTCCTGTCTGACGGTTCCATGATCTTGAATCCTTGCTGGAAACAAGTTGCGCACACTGCCAGTAAGCCAAACCACTTGCTTACTGTTTTTTCGGATCTTTTCCAGGGGAGATTATAGGGGATTCCAAGATGTCCTAACGGACTATGCCGCCTCTCACGAACCGTCAAGAATATGCCTGTTTTCGATAGAGGTGCACCCTATTGCACCCTAAACCGTCCTTGTGGCGAGGAAAGTGCAGCAACGATGGGTCGATCTGGACGTGGGTAGCGTCCGGCAACCAGCAATGAAACCTTGAATCGTAGACAATGCTTGGGGCTGTACTTGCTTATTAGACCTTCCGGCATGGAGCTTTAACAGGGTATGAAACTTGTTTTGGTTTAGGGCTTTGTGTCCCTGGAAATTCTTACGAGTCTTGCGAGAACTGAAACATCCGGGTTTGCTCTACAACTCTCCGGATCTGATCACAATGGGTAATAACCATCGAAGACGAAGAGGTTTGGGGTAGCTTGAAGCCTGAACTACCCGTACAGCATCCTCATACATGGAGCAGTGTCCGGGCATTCGCCGACATGGACGCGTACTGCGGGAAGCCTTTCGATATCCTGGTTTGGGCGCATAGGGTCTAGTTTGGCTTGAGCTTTCGGGGGTGCAGGGCTGAGCTGAGGGTCTTTAGGGCTCAAAGATTCGAGAGTTCAGGGCTTTTGAGGGTGCTGGGCTGCTTAAGCTTGTGGCGGTTTAGGCTACCGAAAGCCCAACGGGCCCAACGGGCCTGAACCTGTAAGCCGACTAGGATCTTGGCTGTAGTATCTCACCCCAAGGGATTTAGGGCTTGGGGGTGGGAAGAGGTTTTTGAAGGTTGTCTTTTCGGACCCTCGCATGTCTTTGACGTTCTTAGTTGTGCCTGCCGAACAGGACAGAGCTCGCGGGCTCTGAGCCTGACTATAGTGACTTCATTAAAGAACCCTGGGAAGCCTCAACCAAACCGTGTAAGTGCAGTAAGGATTTGGAGCACTATGCTCAAGCAAAGAGAGAGATAGAAACGGGAGCAAAGAAGAATAACCATTGTTTCAACCAGTGAGACCTTTATGCCAAGACGTAAACCATGCCTTTCAGTGAAGACCTCAAACCCTCCCAACACCTAAATTGCAATAAAGCATACGGACATCATCATAAGAATCCCAAGTGGGAGGCGCTAACCTAAGCTTCTGATGATTTTGACAGCTGACTCACTGTCTACATCTCGGCACACGCGAGGACCTTCCATTCCCGTCATGCAGCTAGTATACTTCGGGTCCAAGCCTACTAATCTGGAAACCCTAAACCCTAAACCCCAAAAAAAACAAATAAATACGCCCCAAACCCTAAAACCCGAATGCCAAGGGTCCCAATGGCGAAGGGCATGCCGTGGAATGCCGCCCATTGCATAAATGCCTCTCGAAGCTGCTCGTTCACGTTTAGGGGTTTAAGGTTTAGGGTTTAGGGGATAGGTAATAATAACCATCAACGGAACTGCCACCACCTATGCAAACCAGCGTCGCATCTGGTATGGAGGCGTAACTTTTGAGGGGCTATAACGGCTATAAGGGGTGATTTAAATCTCCATAAGTTAGGAGATATTCCGCCCCCCTATTTTGAAGGCGCGAGACGCTGAAAGCCGAAGCCCTCTGAGACCTAGACCAGTTTAAGGTTTAGGTTTGGCAGTCTCCCTAAGCAAACAAACGACATAATTATTAGACAAATATCGACCCTACATATTGCAGGGATCCTTAATGTAGGGACCACCAGCCCAATCAAAAGCGGGCCACGAATTCAACAAAAAAACTCCTTTGTGGCGTTAGGTCTGCGCAAGCGGATTAGCTTTGAGTACTGGTCCCATAAAGGAGGAGCCTGAACAATTACCAATACTATGCATAGGGGTGCTAGGATATTGATCGTCAACCAACCGCCAAGCCCCATTCTAGTTATTCAAGCCAGCCCCCTTATTAACACCCGCGGGTAACCCCTATTAAGCGACCCTGAAAGGAAGCCTCGAAAGGGTTCTGTACGTCATCCTTTGTAAAACGACCCCTAAGGAACCCTAATTTTGCGAAATACCCATGCATACATTCATACATATACATACAAATGTAACTATGAAAAATACAAATACGCGTGTACATATATATATAATATAAGTATAATATAACTATGATATAATATAATATACTATGATATAATATAATAAAATAAAAATATGATATAACATAATGTAATATAATATATATCACATATAATATATAATATTACACATATTTATCTTTACATTGCTGGAGTATATATAAAGTGCATATATATACGTATGTAACTATCCGAGCCGGCGAGAGTCGCCCACCAACCAGCCATCACCCGCGGCCACCACTGGGATGCACTTCTCGACGTCGTGTCGGCAAGCCGGGGAAATCCAAAAACGGTCGTCCTCAGATGGGTCCATTTAGGGTTGATAGGGTTCCATGTTCCTAGGGCTCCGGCTACCTTAAATGGTTGATAGGGTTCCATTTCCCTAGGGCTCCGGTTTGCTAAAGACTGCTTTACTACAACCATATGACATGCAAATCCATAACCCAATATTTGTGTAAGTGGAGAATACAGTCAGGAAAGAGGGTCCGTGGAACTCATGCCAATGACAAGCAAAGGAGCCGGACACTTCGCCATCAACGTCCCATCGGTGGCATTGACGACGCCTGCAGGCTTGGAGACTGCTAGACACGACTTTAGCTCATAGGGTTAACCACGAAGACCAAGCCAAGATGGACTGATTTCAATCAACCGAATGCATGCAAAACTATGAGCCATGAGCCTTCATCCCAACCCCCTGATTGCCAATAAACCCCCAAATGTAGACTCACAAACCACAAGCCTATTCTCTACTCCATCTCAGGCTGTAGATGAACCCGAAGAGAACTTAAGCTCAACTCAGCGTTAGGTTGATAGAACCCTGCTCCCAGCTCTAGAAGCGAAGCCTTAGAATCACAATGACAACTTTATGCTTCAGTTCAAGCTCCTGGTACTCTACAGTCTACAGCATATCAGCAGGTGCAACAGAAGTCTAAACGCACCGAATCAACAGCGAGCCCGGAGAGGGCGCTCCAACCCTAAACCTACAGCGCGAAATCGCACACCCCATGTAAATCCTACGGTAACGCCAAAGCCTTATAGGCTGTAAAGCCAACGCACGCCTTCTGAGTCACCGGTCCATCGTACATAAGCCTCCAACTGTACCTGGCTTGGTTGTCGTCTTTGTCGGCTGGGGCGATGGCTCGGATGCTTAAGCGTTTTGCTGCTGCCACGACCACCGCCACCACCACCACCAACACCACCACCACCACCACCAGCCCCAGCGTAGCGGTCAATGGGTATTCTTTGTGTTCTCTGTTATCAAGATGCTATTCCCCGTCTATGTCTGGGGCACCATGGCAATCATTCCTGTTTCTTACGATTGATTGCTACCAATGTGGCTTAGTCTTGGGGGAACTGCATCTTTTGTTGTTGCATATTCATAGGCTTCAGGCTGAGACTTCGAGAGTAAGACCTGTTTAGGGTTCAGGGTTTACTTTAGGGCTCCATAGTAGTTCCTTCTTGGGGTTCATATATATATATATATATATATAGAATCCTATAAGGTAATCCCCAAAAAGAACTACTATGGAGCCTATGGGTAGGTGTCTCGCCCGAATGGGGCCTGGCGGCATACTGTTTCGAAGCCATGCCGGGAGAATCAAGCGATCAATCTTCGGCCGGTGCTTCGCAAACTTAGACAGCCCGGTGGAGGGCTGACTCTCGATGAGGCAAGGTATCACGAATTCAAACTGCAAGAAACCTCAACAGCCTTAACTCCCCAAATCCAACCCTGAAACCTACAGTCTAAGCCCTTTTGTTGCCAAGCGACATGCAGTGTAAACTTGGTGTTGCTGGTGTTACACGGAAGAAAATCGTCTGCACGAAGATCGGAAAGACGATCGAAAAACTGATACGCAGAGTGGAAGGACGCATTGTAGCTCCTGTCCCAGGAAGTGGAAGGAGCATCCGGGTCTTTCCCTAGCCTTGGGGCTCGGTGTTGAAGCTCCCTTGGGGGGGACTGCCGCTACGCTGCTGATATCTATGCATCTATGGACAAATCGTCTCTATACGAGAAGAGGCATGCATCACAACACACATAGTTTGGCACAGCTTCAAAACTCAGCAAGCACGCTGTAGTCCGACACTCTCATTGATCAGGGTTTGTCAAGGGCCTAGGCTTCGAAGTCGTAGGGTCTAGGGATTGCGTTTAGGGTCTATATGGCTTAGCCTAAGGGTTTGGGGGGGTTCGGCCTTGGTGGTGGTTCTGGTTGAAGCCAACATCGTTGCCGTAGTCAAAAGATGGCTGTCGTCATGGAATGAGGACGAAAGTAAGACGAGAAACAGCGGAGGAAGTGAAGAAGAGGAGCATCACCCTTTGCGGTCTTGGGATGAGAACCAAGACCCCTGAACATTCCTGCAATCCGAAAGGCTGAGTGCTCTTTAGGGGTATAGAGCAGGTCCTGCAATCTAGATTACATAAGATCTTGCTTCTGGCCTGGGCCCGTTAAAACGAGCTCTGAGCTGAACCCTGCGTCTCAATTGCAGCTGAGACTCTTGTAGAACTCCAGGGCTAAACCTTCAGCGCTGTACGCTGCATTCCGTACAGCACCATTCACGCAGAGCGAGTTCTCGCCCACGTAACCTCGCAGGGTTGAGGATTTGTGGCCGATGGGTTTACCCATAGGCTCCATAGTAAATACTTTTTTGGACTACCTTATAGGATTCTACATATGAACCCCAAAAAGGAACTAGTATGGAGCCCTAGGGTAGGATAGTCTCTGGGCCCCACAAGCTTCGGGAGGTAGGGCTTGTCCTGCCACGTCACTGACAGTCTGCAGTGGGGCTGGAGTGCTTGGCATCTTTGCAGCTTCTACTGTCCGCATAGTTCCAATTCCAGCAATAGCAGGAGCAGTTCTGAACTACTCTGTACACTAACAGGAAGCTCCCAATATGAGTCTACAACAGAGAAAGAGAGAGAGAGAGAGAGAGAGAGAGAAAAAAAGAAAGAAAGACAAAGAGATAGAGCGAGAGAGAGAGAGAGAGAGAGAGAGAGAAAAAAAAAGAAAGAAAGACAAAGAGATAGAGCGAGAGAGAGAGAGAGAGAGGGAGGGATCTCAACCCCCAGAAAGACGGGTTTTGGGCCCTGAAGATTGTATTCAGTTCTCGCTCCATCTTGAGCACAGACTGTACCAAAATCAGCCAAACAACTTTTCCAAAACGGCCCAGAACAAAACAACAACAACAACTACTACGAAGTCCTACCCCGCCACCGCCCCAAACCCAGAATATACTGTACCTTAACCCCAAGCAACCTACCTTTTTAAGGACTTATATAAAGAAAGAAAACCTTGAAAAGGTAGGTTCCTCAGGCTCCAGGTAAACACAATGCTGGGCGCCCAGCCCATGGATCCCACGTTCTCTGGGCTAAGGCCAGGGTTCTCCGTCTCGAAGCGGCGAAGCTCCGCGCTTTTGTCGGAAATCCAGAAATCCTGAAGTCTAGGGTTTACCATTCTGAAAAGGGGCTTAGGGTTTATACCATTCTAAAAAAATGTCATAAGGTAAGATTCTGAGGGCAATAATGGGTAATGCTATGGCGACTTTTATCGGTTGCTACTGGGACTCACCTGCCTACACCCTGAGATTTAATTCTACAGCTTGCGGTCTGGGGTGGAATGCGACAGCATAAGTGTCCGCAGAGTCCCGCACCTGGACAGGAATCATCCAACTAGAAAGATCCCGACTCTTCAGGGCTCGAACGGTGCGGGCACATTTGTGTGGTGAGGTGGCAGGGCTTGGGGCTTCGAGTGTACGAAATATTGAGTTCATACCCACGAAGCTCGATCCAAAACGATACTTCCCGGTCAACAGCCGGGTAGCCAACGCAACGTGGCTTCGCACCTGTGCAACCATTTTGCTTAGGGCTCTCGCAGGTCTGCCTTTCATTCAGAACCAGAACTCGAGCTTAAGAACGGAGAGCCGGCAGAGGGACTTGCCCATTTAGTCTTCAGACTTCAATCAGGTCATTCCGGGGTTGCAAGAAGAACAAGCTCAGACTCTGCAATGGCTGGGAGCTCCGAAACGGGCTTATTAATAGGGCCCAAGGCCTAAAACCTGAAATGTACTTGGGGCCTCCCCGCCGCCGAATCAGTGGTTTGAGGGCTTTGGGCTCTCGACGGCTCATAGGACTGTGAGCTTTGTCTTAAAGGGAGATGATAGCCTGTGGCAGCGCGCTGAAGAAGTGACCGGAATCTGAGTCTCTGAAGCCTGAAACTCCGACCCTCAAACCTAAAACCTAAACCGGAAACAACGAAAATCTGCAGCTGGCCAATCTGGGGGCCTTCATGCTTAGAGCGGGGTTTTGCTCTACATTGTACTATGACTGACTGTACAGGGACCATAAGGGGATATTCTTTCTGATTCTTCCGACCACCCTTTTGCAGAGACTTGTATACGTTTCCGACCACCCTAAACCTTGAACCCTGAACCTTATAGCACTAACCCATAGGCCCCATGGGCCTCATAGCAGTTCTTTTTTGGAGTTCCTATTTGGAAACCTATCAGGCAATCCCAAAAAAGGAACTACTACTGTATGGGGCCTATGGGTAAAGCCCCAAGCCCTGAGCCCCTTCTAGTAGAAGCCCAAAAGTTGGAAACCCCATAGCCTCGATCCTTAAGAGTAATGCACAGGGAAATCCCAGCACTATTTGGCCTTAACCCGGCGTCCAACTTTACGGGGTATAGTAGGCCGATACCCTTACCATTAAACCCTTAAGCCCTAAATCCCTTTTGCCATATTAAGCCGATACCTTAATGATTAAAACTATAACAATCTTTCGGCCTGCCGGCTGGAACAATCTTTATCTGTGCAGCCAGCCTTGCGACGACGCAGTTGGGAGGGTCTGGTGACTTTTGGGGCTACAGAAAAGGGCCTGAATAAGTCGCCTATCGGGCGTCGGGGTATATTCTGGTGCAGATATAAACTGCAAAAACCCCAGATCTAACAAACTACAACTCCTGACCCGACTCCTGTGCCCTAAACCCTTTGGGTGTAGCGTTCAATGTCCAACAAAGCATACTGCAAACCCATGATTAACTACCGTCCGGGAATATGAAGCACATACAGAGCGAGTGTGCAAATCAGGAGTCTACATGTGCTCCCAAAATCTGAATCTCAACTTGCCCGGAAACCTAACCTTACACCTCCATCTCTAAGCCGTATACGGTGTACTTAGACCCCAAACCAAGAAAGCCTGTTCCCCAGATCTGAACCCACAACCTTTCCTTGGACCCCGTAATGCCGAAGACCATACAAATTCAGAACAGGCCCACAAACCTCTACAAAACCAAACTCAAACTTAAACTCTCCTTCAACAACCGTGCCCAAAAGAAGTTCAATCTCTGAAAGTGGACCGCATATATGCGGCCGACATTTGCAAAGCTCCCCCAGTGGCTGAGTAAACAAACAGCAAAAGTAATCTGGGTTTCCGAAAATAGGGGACCCTTACATAGTACCCTTAATAGTAGGATCCCTATCATGAGGACCCCCAAAATGTGGTAGCCCTAATTTTCAAATAAACCCAAACCCTAAACCCTACCCTAAACTGCCAATCTGGGCTTCCATGGCAAAGGGCTAGAGCAGGAATCGCGTCGAAACTGTCGGGGAGCTTCTCCGGAAGTACCACCGCATGGTATCCGAGCACTTCCTTTCAAAGTCCCGGGTCTGGGTATGGAAATCCAACATATGTAGGGTTTAGGGTTTAGGGCATGTTGTGTTTAGAGTTGGACTTTGGGGCATTATATTGACATTTTTTCGTTGAAGGGAATATGAAGCGGGGCAGTTCTACGAACTGTCCGAACCTCCATGCCCATTCGTAGGTTCGGGCCGTAGGGCTTTCGGATGCAGAACGATCCAGAGCAGCTAATTATAGTCTATGAGCTTTGGGGTGAGGGGCTCTAGTGCTTTGAACGCCGCGAAGGCAGCCCGATTTAACTCACAGCTTCAGGAGGAGCATCCATCACACAACTCATAACAGTAAGATCCTTGTCAGAAGGACCGCGAAAGGCGGAACCCGTAATTCTAGGGCAGAGGGCTCCGGAAGCATCGGCCGTTGGGCGTTGAGGGCCACTTAGCGAGAAATCGTTTGGGGTTATAGGTGACAGAGAGACGTGTACCACCGCAAGCAATGTTGCTTTCGCTTCTGGAGATACATGGGCTCTACTAGAGAAAGCCCAACACTTCCAAAACTTAATCTTGATGAGGGAGCATGTACTTGGTAAGCTTCCTGCCAATACAGGCAGGTGTAACACACGCACTGGCAGAATTGAACAAGCCTTGCCGTTCGGCATTATCTGTAGGGGTCTTGTTCCTCATGGCTTGGAACCCCACACAAATGCCAGACACAAAGGTGAGGATCCCTTCTCCAATTTCCACCGGTTTTACACATGCATGATGTCCTGCCAGCGTAGTGGCTTGGGTTCGATGTGTGCTTCGTGACACTCACACCGAGTCTGAAACCCGAACCCTAAACTCCCGAAAACGCTGACAGCTTAAAATCCTGCTTAATCATATCCGGCAGTCCTGAAGTCTGCACCCTATGCCGAAACCAAAAGCCCTTTAGTAAAGGCTGCAAAGTGCCCTCACTGCAGCCCGGCGACGTTTATTAAGATGTTCGCTAAGGCGGAGGCCATCTCAGCAGAAGCCCAGTTGAATACCTCGATACCTGAGATCAGGTTCGGAGTCCAGTCTTCTTCTAAGGGGTTGGCTTTGAAGGCGAAGACTGAAGGGATTGATGTAAGGTTACGGGGTTGGCGTTTGAGTACACAGCTTGGGTGTGTGGTCGTTTATTATCAAATGTGACATTTGAAAGTGAAAGATTCCCATCTGCCCCTTTGGTACATACTTTGGGTGAAGTACCTATTCAGGGACTACTTTAAGGCTCTACATATTCTATGAGTGCAGAGGCGTTCTAGGAAATTTGGCGCAATCTAACCCCTGAGCTGAAGAACCGCCTGTCGTGAAGCGCTTCAGGTTTGAGATGCCTATCCTAAAATCCAAACCCTGAACCTACTACATGAGCCTGACCAATTCGAGGGAACATAGCATATTACAGCAGTATGTTCATCATGAGAACCGAGCAAGAGGTTGGTATTTATCCTACGCTGTGTATTGCGACTCGAGATTGGGTCTACAATCAGACAAGCCGTTTTCTGGGGGGAAGGGTCGCTATCCTTCAGCTCTTGCAGTTCTAGGGCTCAGGGTTCGGCGAATCGTAAAACAGCGACACTACTATAATAATCAACCGGGCCACTCTCTTGAATGACGACATGTAAAACCCCTGGTTGGCAACCATGTAAGGGTTAAACCTACATAACCTAGTTTAGTGTTTCTTTCGGTCCTTGTTGCGAATTGGACCGTCCTCCCGGCCGGACACCGTACGAGACACCTGGTCTTGACGAAGGTACCTGCACGCAAAGGCTCCCAAGATCTCCTAAGTGCCCAGATTGGTGGTGGGTAAAAACCACACGCCACGGGTTTGGTGCAGGGTTTAGGTTTCGGATTCAGCGTTATGGGCGCCCCCAACCGAAGGAATCAAGCAAAGGTTAGGAGGTGCGGTAGAACAGCTAAATGACCACAAACACAGACGATACCCTTCCTTTTATCGGTTTCGCCATTCCACTACGGCCCGCCCCCAGCCCTACTACTCACCGGCCGGCCGGATAACAATCGAGGGCCTAAGCCTTAAACCCATACACCCTAGTTCGGATTTTCAGCACTCACAAACTGGGACAAGCCTGGCGAGGTTGCTGACACTGCAGACGAGCACATTGGCCCCAGCATAAATGGACACGCAATTCACGGCCGTCCAAACCAAACTACACAGGACTCCTCTGAAGCCAGGTTGTTCACCTATCACACACACACATACACACACACACAGACTTTTCCTCCATAGCATGGTGGATTTCACGAATTGGCGCCACGCTTCACGATATTGAACCCATGCACAACACTCAGAAGACACATGCATTGACTATCCGTGCTCGCACGAGAATGCTCACATACACGACGGTTGTCGGACACCTCACTTCACGAGCATCCAGCATTCGAGTGGGTCGATCCTCCGAAGCCTAGTTGACACTCTGTCAAGACCTCGGCAGATCAACACGATGCGTATGAAGATAGCTCACGGAGCCGTCCTGTCGTTTCGTTGACGATGATGTCCCAGCAAATATTCTCTCCAGCTGCTGGACTCCAGCTGTCAGACTGTTAGCCTGATGCCGATGATCCTGTCACAAGCTCCGGTAGCCTCAATTTCTCCCTGCCCGTTCTATCTGCTCTTCTTCAGACCAGGTAGAGAATTCCAGACCATACCCGGTTCCCGAGGGTCACCAGAGCGGAGGCCATTCGCACCAATTTTCGTCGCGCGGGTCCTCGAGCAAATGTGTGGCGAAGCAAGACGCAGCCACGGCAACTTCCCTGGGCTCATTCGCCTCCCCTCCTTCTGCGCATCACCGACAGGCAAACGTGGGGCTTTCGCATTGGACGACCTTCCTCTCGCTCGCCATCGATGATGACGATCTACACACAGGCAAGTGCCACCGCGCGAGATGGGCCAATCAGCAGCACCATCTGCAGAAAACTCATAAACGAATCTCAGTTGGCTCTTCTTGTGCTGCAGCTGGGCAGCACCAACAGAAGGCAATCCAGGAAGCCACAAAATGAATCCTTCTGCCACCTGGCCTGGCATTCCGGCGAAACTTTGTAAAACACAGCCGCAACGCCTCCACCGCCGACGGGCAAACAGGCCCTCCGCAGCAGCTCCCCAGTGACAGCCGCCTGCTACGATGGTTCGAATCACTGGAGGGGAAGCCTGGGCTCAGGGCGTAGGAATGATGCCTGCCAGCACATTGGCAGCATCTTCCAGTTGCGGCCGGTCGCCCCTCCCACAGCAGCAGTAGGCAAGTTCCTGAACGTGCCGGGCAACGCTGAGGTCCCAGTCAGATGCGAACCTGAGCTGCCTGGGCTCGCGATAAGACCAAACCCGACCCTTCACATCTTCAGGATGCCAGTGTGGCGCTCGGCAGCCGAGAAAAGGGCAAAACTCCCAATCAGTCAGCTCTAGCTCCCGACTTACACATTTGTTTGTCGAGTCTTCTCCGGAGAAGGCGAAAGTGCCTTCAAAAAACGGACCAATTCAGCGCACAAGAGTGTGCCTGCGCCCGTCGACTCACCTGGAAGCTAATGCTGTCTCTGCGTGTACCTGCTAAATAAATCTTGCATGTTTGCCTTTTGTGTCTTGAGTACGACAGCTCTGAACCCGGGATGCCTTCGAGCCAAAATGGCTAACCCTACTGTGCATTACTGCCGTACAGGGTGGCGTTGAGCCCCTGCAACGACAGGACTTCCATGGCCCGCTTGAACTCGTCTGCTACTAGCAGGGTTCATCCAGCCAGTGTGCCCTCCTCCATGCAAATTCTACATGCTGTAGCGCTGCTATAAGCCCTGCATGGTCAGCCCTGAACTGAAGCTGAAGCCCAAGAGGTAAGTTACGCAAGCACAGATGAAAAAACTCAACGAAACCTTAAACCCTCTCTCTCTCTCTCTCTCTCTGTCTCTCTCTCTCTCTCTCTCTCTCTCTCTCTCTCTCTCTCCCTCCCAGGCACTCGAAACGTCAAGCCCGGCTGCAGTAAACCATAAACCCTAAACCCTAGATCTTATAATCTTCAAAGTTTTAGGGTTTAGGGTTCTGGGGTTTAGGGTTTTGGGTTCGGTTATAGAGGAAACCCTGAGGAATAATATTACTGATTGACTTCTATAGCCTATGCTACAATTCAGTTCGTCAAGAATTTGGGTGTAGGCTCGGACATTGGCGTCATAGGGAAAGCCTGCTACCCAACATGAGCCCAGAACCTCCTGACTAAGTGAGATACCTGATATACCAGCAAGAAGCCCCACAAGCCCGAATCAGAAATCAAGCCTTGTCCTTCAGGTTTAGTAGCGTTATGCAGTTTAAGACGAAGGGTTTAGTTTAATTAGTGTGTGTGGAGTACCCTATAAGCCCTAAACCCTCAACCTCAAACCCTCGGTGTAGGAAGAAAAAGCCTCCGAGCAGTCTCGGGGACGCCATCCAGCAAACACATTGAGGCATCGGACACGGCGAAACAAGCGCCTGACTAACGGCTTATGCAGGGTTTAGGGTCTTGGGTTTAGGGTTTCGTCGGACACAGCGAAGCAGGCGCACGAGGGGGTGTGGGGCTTCTCAATGCAGCAAGGAATAAATTGATCTAAGTCCTTCATCTGAAATTACCCTGACTGTTGGGGGTTTTGCCCGCGCACGTGCAACACATCTACGTTGTGCAGCCGACAGGTTCTGAGTCGTGACAGGAGGCCAACTAGAAGGACGAGGTAGTACAGGAAATGCGCGCACACCATCATTGCTTGGCAAAGTGGGTGTGTACCGCGGCAAATCCTAGGAGTGCATGAGGCACTGGCAAAGCGGCTGTCTGGTACAGGGCTGCAGGGCTCAGGGTCTGTAAGGAGATTTCGGGAATCTGGATCTGGGGTTTGGTTCGGGTTGGGGGTCAGGGGTGGAGGGTTTTCTGGGGTTTGGGTTCGGGGGTCACGGGGTGGAGGCGGTGCCTAGGTCCTCCCCATCTCGAGCCGAAAGAAGCATCGCGGACAGCCATCCCATGTTCCGAAGCCCTGCAGGACTCTGACAATTAGGGGATTTAGGGGTTTAGGGTTTAGGGGCTTGGGGCAGATTTCACTGAGTACCACCTGCAAGCCGCGCCATCCTTGCTTCTCTCAAGCCATACCTTAAGCGTGCACCACAGATAAACCCTGAAACCGAAATGCTGTTACGAGCAATCCGCACTGTGAGTATGTCGGATCCACCACTGGCTTTTTCCGCCAAGTTAATGTATAACAATCTAGGGACCAAAACTTTACATCAATCTACATACTCAGAACAGAACAGGGGTAGTAGGGGTAACACCAGGAGTGATCGCTTCCTGTTCTCCCTCCCCATATTCCTGTTGCGGTGGTTTTTGTGGTGGTGGTGGTGGTGGTGGTGGTGAACGTGGTGAACGTGGTGGTGAACGTGGTGAACGTGGTGGTGGTGGTGGTGGTGGTGGTGGTGGTGGTGGTGGTGGTGGTGGTGGTGGTGGTGGTGGTGGTGGTGGTGGTGGTGGTGGTGGTGGTGGTGGTGGTGGTGGGGGGGGTGGTGGTGGTGGTGGTGGTGGTGGTGGTGGTGGTGGTGGTGTTGGTGGGGGTGGTGGTGGTGGTGGTGGTGGTGGTGGTGGTGGTGGTGGTGGTGGTGGTGGTGGTGGTGGTGGTGGTGGTGGTGGTGGTGGTGGTGGTGGTGGTGGTGGTGGTGGTGGTGGTGGTGGTGGTGGTGGTGGCGTTGGCTGATGTGCCCCTGCAGAAATACATGGGAGGATGGATTCGCATATGTACATACTGTGAAACAGCAAGGACGAACTCTGAATATACTAGTAAGCAGTCCAGCACACTGCTCCGAAACCCAGAGCAGAAAATTTAATACATAACAGCTTGGACGGAGTAGTCTACTTATAGTTTGGATACCCTGCACATACGTGCTCCTGGCACATGCATTGTAGAATATTGGAAGACAGTTTTGGTATATACTCTGGTGCGGCTATACATAGATTAAGGGACTATTTCAAGG